AATTAAAAAGATGTGGAAAATACTCAGAAACAAACCTAATTTATCAATTAATATTATATCTCCATGGCAGAAGAAGCCCTATGTGTATACTAGTATTCCTTTGATATGGGGGCCATCTTGGATTTTTCTCGAATTGCCTGTGAATAAAGGTTAGTTACTCACCACAAATATATTATTTGTGTAATAAGAAACAAAATTAACTAGACAGTGGGCAATGCATCTTCCTAGTTGGCATTAGTTAGTTGAAAACCCTTGTACATGTTCTAGTATTCCTATGCCATACGGTGGCCATCTTGGATTTTCAATAAGTCCAAGGACACTAGTTTGTTATCTGACACATATGCATAATATGGGTAATAAGGATGTGGAAAACATTGAGAAAATACTTAATTTGATAAAAATCAACATAGATATGTATATATTTCTACAAAATTTCACAAATTGGCGGCCATTTTGGATTTTTTGGCCAAACGGTAAATTTTTTCTGTGGGCTACGGCTCTAATTTGATTTAGTATGTCAAAAGGTACCCACATGCAAAATTTGGTGCTTTTATCTGCTGTGTCACGATTTGGCCATTTTTTTGCCCTAAGCAACCGGACTATTACCTACTGTAGGTCTTTTAATCTTTAAATAGCATATAAACCCCAAACTATAATGATTATGATACAAAATGCTTCTGAAAAAAAAAAGACTAGATAAACTAAACAAATAAAAATACTAATACAGAAAAACTGGTTGTTTTTACTATAGTTTCAAAATATGTTGTTTTTTTAATTTTAATGCTCAAATTGGAATATTATATTTGTTGTTAAAATAGTGAATGTGTCTTTTGTTTGCTTAACAAATGTCATGATTTGCCTGAAAACTTCATTATTTATGTGTCAAAATTCTTAAGTAGTAACTTCACCTTTGAGACTGTTTTTAAAACTCAATTTTCTCCCAGGGCAGTGAAATTAACAAGGTACATATATTGTGTTGCAATCCAAACTGCATAGCATTCAAGGAATACAAGGGAGGGGGATGTCACATCAAAACTTTTATAAAATAGCATACAGGGTGTCTTGATACACAACATGCATTTTCACAGCACATGTTCCAAATGACAGCCATTGCACTGATGGCATGCTTGAATTTAACAAGTGGAAGTTGCCAATCACCTTGACACACTCTTCTTTCCATATATTCCGTATAAAATGCACCCTTTTATTAACGTCTTTTTAATTGTTACCATATCAATTTCCAGGACATGTAATCTTGTCTCAGTTTCTTCTCTCAGTTATAATTTTTTATCATATTAATGGGTCCCATATATATTGAGACACTGAGTTTGTGACATATAAACTCAAGCAAGTGCAAATGCAAAGAAAATGACATTTGAAAAATCTGTATCATGCAGCTTTTCATGGTGTAAGGGCAGTGAAAAGAAAAAAGTGTTTGAATGAATTGTTCGTACAATATGAGGTGAATTTGACATGATATGAAAGAGAACATATATAAATGTGGGCAACATTGTTTCATGGGGGAAATTCCCACTGAAGATTTGCCAATTTATCATTGAATTATTTAAAGGTAATAATTAGACTAGTTCTGTAATGGAAAAAAATTAACTACTTGGATCCTTTTTTTACTTTCAGTGATTAGGTATGAATAAATTTTTGAATTGACTAGCTTATCAGTCTTGGTTATTTACTTGCTCCAGCCTTGACTTGGGGACAGCAGACTGTGTTTGCTTTGTCTGCCATTGAAAGTTAGTCCTTGAATAGAGTCCAAGGAACATGTGGAAAGCATGCACTGAAAGTCTGCAACACAGTTTTGAACGGAAGTTGTATTTCCTTTTTTTCCTTTTTGGGGGGGGGGGGGGTATAAGGTATGGATATTTGTTAAATAAAGCCTGATGGCCCTTTTCTTTTAAAAACCAGCATGTACTATTATTGTCATTCATCTGTAGGCTATTGGAGATGTGTATCCATGCAACTTTCTTAATTATAACATCTGATGCTCGTTGAAATTTGTTTTTAACTAAACATGATATTTTAATATGCTAATAAGCATCAATCCAGAATTCCAACAATATACAATTATATCAGACATTCTCTTATACCACATGGGTATTTGTTTACCTAAATTGTGTACCTTCCAATCTGTTATAATATCTATTCGCCATAGGTGAAACATAGGTGAGTACATTAGAAGTGCATGTGATACCCACGTTCCCTTTCTATCAACCAAAGTATCAAAAATTATTAGGTTAAAAAATTTAGCCTGATTGGATATTTTTAGACATAAGGCAGAAGTAAACATGGTCACATAAACACTTTTTTTTTCAAAATTCTCTACTTTTTAAGAAGACTTGTCAGAATTTTTATGATGAATAGATATTCATGTTTATGCAATTATCTTGACTCTTTAGGACTTAAATGGAAGTAAGATTAAAATCAATGTTTTTTTCATTTGAACATACCAACCATAATCATGTTAATATCCTTTATGTATTGGGCCTTTGTCATTAATGTGGATGGATTCATTTTTATACAAGGCAGTAGGGCAAAGCTAAAGTGTTTGTGAATACTTAAGTTTTTAAAAGTGAGTTCCATATGGTTTGAATAAAATAAGATGTAACACATTTTTTGGATAACTGGTGTGTTATTTAAACGATAAAATAAAGCAGATTCATCTTTTATTTTTCAAGTACATAGTCAATCCATATTTTAAGGGAATGTTTGAGAAGACTGAAACTGAAAGTTTTTATCCCCCTCCCTCCCCATCCCCGCCCTCAGTATATGTCATGATATGTCTCCATGTTATCAAGCTTCCATCTACATGTTACCTTGTTTGTAGAACTCAATCAAAGTGTCCTTAAGACACACCTCCCTCCTCAACGGACTTTGGTTTTGTGTAAGATCAGGCAACCAGGGGCAAAGTTCATGCATATATGTTAAATCCTCAGTTTGATTCACTGTAGGAATGTTGATTCATCAGCATTAAGTGAGCATAGCTCCCTGTAACCAGAGAAAGCTTTCCAGGTCCGTGAGTATTCACTTTTGATTTAATGTAGTTAGAAATTTTTGGGTAGTTTTCTTAAAAGGTCACAACTTAGGAAATTTCATGACAGTAGTTACATTTGCAGGTAAATTGATCATATATTCTTGAAACGACCAAACTGACACAACTTCATATGTTTTGGGGTTACTTTTTAGAATACTTCCTCTCCCCCTTTATAATGGCTGCATGAATTGATAACCAGAGTTCATACGTAGAAAAGGTACAACTTTTTTACTGTTTTGCTTCTCTAGTTTAAAGGTTGAACTGATATCCTTTGCCTTTGTCAGTCACGATTGACTTTTATGTCAACATTTCTTAAAGCAAAGAAATTATGCATGTTTGCTGACACAGTATCCTTAGTCAAAATCCCCCTTACAGGTGGTGGCTATTACTGAGCCCATCTTTGGTTTAGCATAGGTATGTGGTCACAGTAAACACAGGTCCGTTTCTAAAGGTTTTTCACCTGGATGCACACCTGGCATTTAAGGTTTGTAGTCTTGTAAGATGAAGAACTGGGTTGATATATCATTGAATTTATGTGCACTGATTGCTAGGTACGTAGTGACAAAATATCAGGTCCATGCAAAATGTGGATGCTGCTTCATACAGAACTCTTATTCAGTTCCTTTTATAACTACCTTGAAGCCATTATCAATATATGGGCCCTAGTAATAACTACTTAGTTAGTGCATTAATTGTCTGTATATCTCTCTGTTGACCAGAAGATATGTGGTAGTAAGTGTCTCTGTCTGTACACACAGTTATCTTGTTAAAACATCATAGTGTAGACATGACGAGAGGTTGGTAAAATTAGGGTCAGTAATGAGTGTGATGACTCATTTGGCTGTCCCAATCTTGCCACACCCCTAAGCCTGCTAAGCTGTCCCAATCTGGCCACACCCTTGGGCTCTCCCAGTGTTGCCAAACTTTCAAAATGCCCTACTGCTGCCACACCCTTAGGCTGTCCCAATGATGCAACATCCCTGGGCTGTCCCAGTGATGCCACACACCTGGGCTGTCCCAGTGTTGTCACATCCTTGAGCTGTCCCAGTGTGCCCCATCACTAAACTGTCCCAGTGTTGCCACCCCCCTAGGCTGTCCAAATGTTGCCATTCTGACTTGACTGTAAAGCATGACACTTGTCATTTGGTGACATTTGTCATTCAATGGCATCACAGATGAAGATTATAACCTATAAATTAATGTTTGTGAGTGTGTTTATTGGGGAAAGTGGAGGACTGCAGATGGTAAATGTGCTCACATTGATCTACAAGTATACATGTAGAAGCTGTATATTGCACTTGTATACGTGCAGTGTGGGATAAGGTTTATGTATCTTGTACAAGTATTTGTGTATGGTATCTTCAAGTAATAATGAGGAGACGTGTGTGTGTGTGTGTGTTCTGCAGTGCAGGTGTGGTTAATTGTATTGTATGTAATGAATATTTGAAATGAATTAGAATATATAGCATGAGGCATATGTTAGAATCTTATTTCTGCATATTTAAATAATGTGTTTTGCATTTTGATTGAATATGCACATGCAGCTGTCCAAAGGTGACAGCACATATGTTTAAAGGCAACTTTATTGAAACAAAACTTTTTTTAGTGATAAAAAGTACATAAGAAATGGGTGAAGAAAGTTAAACTGATGCCAGAAGCTTTGTCTTGAATCCCTATGTACATATTATATCATATGCTTCAAGTTATGGAATGAAACTCTTGATTGATCTGATATGCACTGGGTCATAAAACTATTGATTTATCTGAAATGTGTTGAACATGTTAGTGATTTAAAAGCTCACACAAGAGACAGTGCATCATTAAGACTGTACCACATAAAGGTCGCTGTCTCCTCATTATTACTTGAAGATATTAATTAACAAATCTTATTGTAAGTGCACTCTGTTTGACGTCAATGTTCTGGTGTCCAACAAGACCATCAGTTCAAGACACTATTTGTCTAGTTTTATTTATCTGGTCTTCATATATTTCATTATTATTTTTTTCCAACAGATAAAGAAGATCTATATGTAAATGTTACACAGCTAGATTCAATAGAGACAGAAAGAAACAAAGGTACAAGAAGATGTCTACTGAGACTGAGAAGCCATATGATCCTAATGACACAGTCCAAAGTATGAATTCAGTTGCAGAAGGGGATACTTCAATTTCATCAGAAAAAGTAATAAGTCCCACAAAGAGGTATGATATGTATATGTTAGTGTTTTCACTAGTTTTGTTTTGGAATAAGTTTAAAGATTATGTCTTCCTCTAAAATTCTTTGAATTTTAACATATGCATGAATATTTATTTAGTGTTATTCAGTTTTTATATTTACTTTCTATAGTTTAAAAAAATTATATAACCAATTCATTTTAAAGTATTCTCTGGTTGAACAATTAAGGATTCTTCATGTGTTGGTCAAAGCTAATGTCTCCTAAATAATATACCTATTATTTTTTCCAATCTTCAGGGCTGTTCAGTAATATCATTCATTTCTTTTCAACAGGCCAAACAGTCTCAGTTAATGTGTATAAAATGCATATAAATCCTTAATGGGCATGAGTTTTATTAAGGGACAAAGTTACTCTCTCTGCTCCTTTTCTAGTTTTTTAATGAACTTCATTTCCTTGGGCACAAAGTAAACAAAATATATCCACATACTTTACCCCCAGTTTGTTATAGACCTAAGTCAAAAACTAGTGCTGGACTTTTGGGCTTACCCAGGCTTACCCATCCTATTTTAATCTCCATTTTTTATCTAAAGTTGAGGTTTCTATACATATTATGAGGGTAATTTGTTCAGAACATCATGCAGAACATGCATGGTCATATTAAAGTCATTGTGGGGGTGAACCTTGGAGTGAGGAATGAATACTTTTTGATCTTGACATGCATTCAAAGTAGGGTCAATTTAAACTGAAAATAGTCTAAATGATGTCACCAAGTGCCTAGTCCTCTACAGGGGATTCATTTGGCATCCCATATGATAACATTCTATAACATTAAATATTGTGTTAAGGACTCTGGTTGTAATGCCAAGTCAGTAACACCAAAACCAGTTTGTGGAAGATTTTGAATTAATAAGTTGTTTTATACATGTCTTTAGGTATAGTTCATATTAATTGTCCAGTCAGTGTCACATAGGGGCAACTATTGACCACACTGAATTAGTAACTTTCATTGGATTTCATTGCACTTGACCTCACCCATGGTTACATACATTTGAGCTCACCTAAACATGCAATCAGTCTTAGACCCCATTCCCATAGATTTTAGATCGATCTAACCCTGTGGGGAGTCTCACTAGATTACTGTCAGCTTAGCCGGCTTAAGCGTCTGTCCTGCCTACTTAAAGCTGTAAGGGGGTAATTAACTATGGTGCGCGCTTGGCTGACTGCAATTTAGCGTGAACCCCCAGGGAGTTCGGTCGATCTAAATCTAAATCTCTGGATCGATCTAAATCTCTGGGAATGCACCCTTATATTCCACATATGCCGCACTGGGTAATAACATTGTAATTTTAGCTTTCAGATATAAATATATGGATCTATCCAGCACATGTATCCTTACCTTAATGATCAGTGAAGTAGATGAGATATTATTTCATGAAAATGATTAAATTGCTACAGCAATTAAAAAAAAAAAGAAAANTTATCTGAAATGTGTTGAACATGTTAGTGATTTAAAAGCTCACACAAGAGACAGTGCATCATTAAGACTGTACCACATAAAGGTCGCTGTCTCCTCATTATTACTTGAAGATATTAATTAACAAATCTTATTGTAAGTGCACTCTGTTTGACGTCAATGTTCTGGTGTCCAACAAGACCATCAGTTCAAGACACTATTTGTCTAGTTTTATTTATCTGGTCTTCATATATTTCATTATTATTTTTTTCCAACAGATAAAGAAGATCTATATGTAAATGTTACACAGCTAGATTCAATAGAGACAGAAAGAAACAAAGGTACAAGAAGATGTCTACTGAGACTGAGAAGCCATATGATCCTAATGACACAGTCCAAAGTATGAATTCAGTTGCAGAAGGGGATACTTCAATTTCATCAGAAAAAGTAATAAGTCCCACAAAGAGGTATGATATGTATATGTTAGTGTTTTCACTAGTTTTGTTTTGGAATAAGTTTAAAGATTATGTCTTCCTCTAAAATTCTTTGAATTTTAACATATGCATGAATATTTATTTAGTGTTATTCAGTTTTTATATTTACTTTCTATAGTTTAAAAAAATTATATAACCAATTCATTTTAAAGTATTCTCTGGTTGAACAATTAAGGATTCTTCATGTGTTGGTCAAAGCTAATGTCTCCTAAATAATATACCTATTATTTTTTCCAATCTTCAGGGCTGTTCAGTAATATCATTCATTTCTTTTCAACAGGCCAAACAGTCTCAGTTAATGTGTATAAAATGCATATAAATCCTTAATGGGCATGAGTTTTATTAAGGGACAAAGTTACTCTCTCTGCTCCTTTTCTAGTTTTTTAATGAACTTCATTTCCTTGGGCACAAAGTAAACAAAATATATCCACATACTTTACCCCCAGTTTGTTATAGACCTAAGTCAAAAACTAGTGCTGGACTTTTGGGCTTACCCAGGCTTACCCATCCTATTTTAATCTCCATTTTTTATCTAAAGTTGAGGTTTCTATACATATTATGAGGGTAATTTGTTCAGAACATCATGCAGAACATGCATGGTCATATTAAAGTCATTGTGGGGGTGAACCTTGGAGTGAGGAATGAATACTTTTTGATCTTGACATGCATTCAAAGTAGGGTCAATTTAAACTGAAAATAGTCTAAATGATGTCACCAAGTGCCTAGTCCTCTACAGGGGATTCATTTGGCATCCCATATGATAACATTCTATAACATTAAATATTGTGTTAAGGACTCTGGTTGTAATGCCAAGTCAGTAACACCAAAACCAGTTTGTGGAAGATTTTGAATTAATAAGTTGTTTTATACATGTCTTTAGGTATAGTTCATATTAATTGTCCAGTCAGTGTCACATAGGGGCAACTATTGACCACACTGAATTAGTAACTTTCATTGGATTTCATTGCATTTGACCTCACCCATGGTTACATACATTTGAGCTCACCTAAACATGCAATCAGTCTTAGACCCCATTCCCATAGATTTTAGATCGATCTAACCCTGTGGGGAGTCTCACTAGATTACTGTCAGCTTAGCCGGCTTAAGCGTCTGTCCTGCCTACTTAAAGCTGTAAGGGGGTAATTAACTATGGTGCGCGCTTGGCTGACTGCAATTAAGCGTGAACCCCCAGGGAGTTCGGTCGATCTAAATCTAAATCTCTGGATCGATCTAAATCTCTGGGAATGCACCCTTATATTCCACATATGCCGCACTGGGTAATAACATTGTAATTTTAGCTTTCAGATATAAATATATGGATCTATCCAGCACATGTATCCTTACCTTAATGATCAGTGAAGTAGATGAGATATTATTTCATGAAAATGATTAAATTGCTACAGCAATTAAAAAAAAAAAGAAAACTTGACTCCTTGAAAGGAGAGACAAGAATTTGGGATGTATGGTTCATTTTTGTTTTGGGCAAAACGTATTATATACTGCAGATCTGTGTAACCTGCTGGTAGAATTTAAGTTGCCTGTTAGTGAAATTTTAATGCAAACATGAAACATGTAACACAGTTTCCAGTGCACTGTGCACTTGTTTGATGTACTAGTTTTTGATAAGGTAAGGCAGGTTATTGGGGTCAATGTTAAGATAAGCACCAGTTAGGGCAAAAAAGATCCATCAGTAGATCTACCCATGTGCTGTAAGATGCAATGCTTGAAAGAATATTATAAAGACTAATTTTTTACAGAAAGTCAAATGATTTAAGATCACTTAATCTGATTCTTCAATTTAAATGCATTGAAATCCATTTTGATAATTATTTAGCTGAATATGCTACAGTATAGTAGATTATTAAGCTAGCATTCTTTTGTGCACATGTAAAAGAAAATTCACTCTGACCAAAGGGAAAAAAATTGGCTCAAGATATTTTATGATTTCCACCAATTTCAAATAGATTCACTGAAAAATAAAGCATAGGCAAACATTTATGCTACAGTCAGCAGGGTTATCAGGGGACATCTATCTGCTAGTGTTTGACTAAGGTGTTTATTATGGCCTCTGACCACACGAGGTCCAAGTTGCCTGGCAGCAGAGACGTCCATATTGGGCAAGAGCTCACCTTGCTAGGACCACTTCTTGAACTGGTGGGGCATATTTTTACAAAGAGTTCAGATTCTGGCAACTAGCAGCTTAAGGTTAAACTTTTGATTAGTAGTTGTGGGGGATTTTAAAAGAGGGGAGGGAGGGCAAGTATTAAGCTGTTTACTATAAAGAGTTACACTTTTTTGGTGTGCAAGGAGTCCAAGCAGTGATACTAGCAGAAGATGGCTGTAAATTTTACTCCACGTCATATTTGAGTTACTATGTTTACATGTCTCATAAACTTTGGTCTTTAAGTGTAGCTTGAGCACAGGATATTAAGCACCCTGTACCTCTTGTTTTCTCATGTTTTTTCAGTGTATGTGTACTTAACTATAATCCTTGTCTACAGATAAAGTAGTGTCTGACATCTGTGCCATGGTACACTAGCATGTGTGCCAAAATGTATGCCTGTGCCAATGACATATGACAAGGTTATGTAAGGGAAAATTGGGGGGGGGGGAACCCTTCAGTTTATAATTAATTATACATTTTTTCTTGCTGAGAAACCATGCTGTATTTTTCAGCCTTAACATGTCAAAGAACAACAACTATGGGGATAATGGAGCTTATATAGAAAGAGATAAGTCCAAATTGACCAATGGTGTCAAGGAAGAGGAATCAGACCCCCCACTGACCAATGGGCATTCTGACTCCCAATCCCAGGATGGACCTGTAATGAATGGTATTAATGGTGAGGGTGATGAAGAAAATGGTGCCATTGATGGTCACGACAAAGAAAAAGAAGAGGCAAAGACTAATGAACAGAATACTTCACCTCCAGAGGAAGAAAAGAAAGTAGTTGAAGAAGCCAAAATAACCGTTCAGACACCCCCGGTTAGTTCAGGAGAACCCACTGCAGGGGACAACCAGCCTAAAGTAACCTATAGTGCCACTTCCACCCCCAAAACAGGAGGGGACCCAGGAGATGGCTTGATATACGGTACGACCTTCCGAAATATAGTTAAAACTGGATGATTATAACTGAAAGCTGTGGAGTCCTGTGGAACTGGTAGACTGTATTATTATTATTATTATGTACAGACACAGATGTGTCTGTACATATAGCCATCATCTGCGTCTGTCGTCGCCGTCGTCGCCGTGCACTTTTACCGATAACACGATAAGTGGAAAACCATTTTACCTTTTGACTTGAAACTTGCAGAACTGATGAATATTCATAATACGCAGGTCGAGTTCGAAAATCAGCATGATTGGGTCACTTTTAGGGAATTTATGCTGTTTTTNTTTTGTGTATGTGGGGGTCTATACGAATGCGCTTGCTCCAGCTGGTGGTACAATATTCGGAGGCGGTATCGCCTCTCTGATCCTCTAGTTTGACAATTTATTTTGTCTCTTAGATTATTTGTTTTATTGATATCTGTAAAAAAAGGTTATATCTGGATTTAATGGGGTTTAAACTAATCTTTAACTTCATACTGTATTTTTATACTTAAGCTTTATACTTATTAATTTCACTTTCGACTTATTAATATTGCATTTCACATTCTTAAGTTATAACTTTGGAAAGACTACTGAACTTGTTTAATGGATCTTATAGACTTAAAACAAATAAATAAATAGTGTTATTATTATTTGAAAAATTAAGTTCTCTTAAAGTTTGCAGTTTTATTGTAAAAAGGGACATTATTATCTTTTTGATTTCTGTTCCACCATATGGAGGATTTTGATGTTCTTTAATTATAACAGATTTTTCAAATGATTGACTGGGTTAGTTGTTTATATGAACTGCTCTTCACTGATGCTTACAGGATCCTTCCCTTGGTTCCAACAGGAACATGGCTGTCCAGTCGTGACCTTGGCTTGACCCCTGTTGCAAGGGCAACTGTGCAAATAGATCCCAGGAAACAAAAGTTGCAGGTATGGCTTAACACATTTTATGAAACCTTTTCAGTTTTTCACCTTTCAAATTTGATAATTTTTTTCCAAATATTTATGAGATGTCTAAGAACAGTTATATAAGATTTTTAATAAACAGAGTCAGAAAGACAAATGTTATTTTACCCACTCATCAAGTTCAGCATGGTTTGGCATAATTATAATGGATACATCAGACCATATCTATCCAGTAAATGAATCTTTTTCAGCAGACCTGAAATGCACCACCCTGAATACCATACAAAAATAACTTACAACATGTACAATACAAACTGAACAGGACAATAACAACATCATGCATTTACTAAATGAATTTCAGGGTGAGTTGTACGCAATGCTGTTGACTCTGAGGAATCAAATAGCACATTCTGAGGTAGACATAGCACCCTACATGATTGCCAATAACAAGAACCTTGCTGATATGGCCAAGATAAGGTATGGTATTTTTATTAATGCAGCACTTCCACATTTATCTTCTTACCAAACTGAGTCTAAAGTGCTGCCACCTTGCGAGCGAAATGGTGTTCAGATCAGTGCTGCCACCTGGTAGTCATTTTTATTTTTAGCATTACCACGTGAAGGCAAAGAAATGTTTTGTAATCCTTCCTTCAGCTGAGTGAAGTATTCCCTTCGATATGTTCCTTTTACATATTTATAAAAAATAATTGCATGTTGGAGCATACCAGTATATTAAAAAATTATCCATTTTTATGTACAGACACAGATGTGTCTGTACATATAGCCGTCACCTGCGTCTGTCGTCGTCGCCGTCGTGCACTTTCACCGATAACACGATAAGTGAAAAACCGTTTAACCTTTTGAATATTCATAATATGCAGGTCAAGTTCGAAAATCAGCATGATTGGGTCACTTTTAGGGAATTTATGCTGTTTTTTCACTTTTTTCAGCATATATGCAGCACCGATAACACGATAAGTGGAAAACTATTTTACCTTTTGGCTTGAAACTTACAGAACTGATGAATATTCATAATACGCAGGTCAAGTTCGAAAATCAGCATGATCGGGTCACTTTTAGGGAATTTATGCTGTTTTTTCACTTTATTCAGCATATATGCAGCACCGATAACACGATAAGTGGAAAACCATTTTACCTTTTGGCTTGAAACTTACAGAACTGATGAATATTCATAATACGCATGTCAAGTTCAAAAATCAGCATGATGGGGTCACTTTTAGGGAATTTATGCTGTTTTTTCACTTTTTTCAGCATATATGCAGCACCGATAACACGATAAGTGGAAAACCATTTTACCTTTTGGCTTGAAACTTACAGAACTGATGAATATTCATAATACACAGGTCAAGTTCGAAAATTGGCTTGATTGGAATATTTTTACAAATTTAAAGTTATGCTGTTTTTTTCCATTATTCAGCATATATGCAACACTGATAAAGCATTTTAAGGAAAACCAATCAGCCTTTTGTCTTGAAACTTACAGGAGTGATCAGTCTGACTTATATACAGATAAAGTTTGAAAATAAGCTTGATCAGTTAAGTTTTGATGAAGTTATTAGCCTTTTTGTATATAAGTGGTTTTTCTTCAGATTTAATTCTTAGTCATGTTAACAGTCTCATTATGGAACAAATTAGATATGTTTAAGTGTTGTTTTGACATTTTCTGCTTCTTAAAAATATTGTTAGTTGATTATATAAAAATGACAGTACACCTTTTATTGTGCATTGTGTAATAAAGTATCAAAAATGGAAAGGAACTCATGTATGCAGTTCGTCAGATTCAATCATTCACTAAGTTAAGAATCTCAGAATGGAGCAAGTTGGACATTTAAATTTGTTCTATTGATATTTTTCCTTTGACAACATATTTTAATTGATCATATAAAAATGACAGTAAATCGATTATTTTTTTTATGTAAAAAAAGAATTTAAAATGGAAATAAACTCTTTTCAATTCAGTTTCTCTTGTTTAGATTTTGGGATTTTCAAAGTGTGTCTGAACTCTATGGGCTAGACACATTTTGTGAATATCCATGATAGTTTTATTTTATCATTAAAAAACTGATGGTTATTATGCACTTGCTCTTTTTACACTTAAAGGAAAGAAACATAGGACTGAAATACAGCTTCAATCTGTCTCATTAGTTAATTTTCTGGAAGTTATAGAGGTTTTTTTGTAAAATTTTTTACCTTTACATACTGGAATTTTCAATGTGGGACTTAGAGCTCCTTTGGGCATGAAGCCCAGTGGTAATCACATTTTTTTAATGTCCATGTTTTTAATAGTAGATATTTAAAACTTGGTGGTATTTATACAGTTAATCATTATGTAATGTTGCATCAAAATTGACAAAAAACCTACTTTGTGCACTGCCACCATTAACGTTATGGAAAGAAAACTGTTACTTTCTATTTTTTCATCCAGTCTTACAAGAATGATTCTTAGTATTGACATACAGCTCATATTAGAAAACCATATTAGATTATCATTTTTATTAAATTTATGCATTTTTTTGTGAAATTTTCATTTTTCTCATTCTGGCACTTTCTAAGTATAAACTTGAACTCTGATGGGCCTGAAGCCTTATGCTTTTACTTTCGTCGGTGTTACCTGTTGTGCATAATTAAAATTTGATGTTGACTATGCAGTTAAACATAATGTATTATTGTATCACAATTGATAGTCTCCTATTTTGTGCATTATTGTTTTGCGCTTTTCTTAAGGTGTGACTTATAGGCCTGAAGACCTTTGAGAGGGTCAGTCTGTAAATTTCCCTTGGGTATCACTAGGCTAAGTTATAAAGTTATAAAGTCATTTGCCTAATTAATAGACCATAAAGNTATTATTATTATTATTAGCAAAACATGTAGCAAAATCTTCAAGACCATATAGAAAGTGTTTCCTTCTGCTGAAGTAAAGTACATTGATAAAAGTTTAAGTTTCTTGAATTGTCTCAGTATTAATTTTATATTTATCAAAACTTGATGAAAGGCACCCATGGGCCAACCAGCTATTGAGTACCCAGTGAGTTATTTCACACTTGGACAAATGCTTATCATGTAAAATACAATTTATAGCTATTTAAATAGCATGTTTACTTTAAAGCCTATTTTTTATGCATTTATTATTATTGGATAAGATTAAACTTGGAAGCTATGACATGGTTCAAGCAGGGCTTTACTTTCAGATAGCATATTTTTTAAGAAAAGTAAAACATTTTATTATTGCATATGTAATAGATACTATAAAACGATTATCTATTTAAGTGTGTAACATTGCAAAGCTTTTGATTAAAGCTTATTTCATGTGAAGACATTGGGTATATTGTGAGTTCACTCATGTGTTATAGTGAGTATTGTCCAGTTTCTTTAGAGGAATTGACCCTAATTATTTCAGGAATGGACGAGTTAGCTCCAGCTGACAGTTTCCGTGTGTGGCAGCGTGATGCAGCTGTAAAGCTACAGGTTGGTGAGGAAGCCTCGGAGAAACCACTCACTATCATGTCAGCATTTGTGGATGTGGTGAAGAGAATACCTAACAACACCGCTCTAGGTAGGACCGAATGATCAAAACGGTACCATTCTGTTGAATGTAAATTTTCAAAAAAAAAAAAAAAAAAAATTGCAAGTAAAGGAAAATGATGGAAAGAGATTGGTTTGCAGTTTTATTTAACATACAGTTGTGTGATATTTTGTCTTTCACTATATACTTACTACTACAAGCATATACATACAGTACCTAAAGCTTTTTGAACAGAGTTTCCATAGCAAGATACCATTCAGTCTTTCCACTTAGGTCTTTTTTCCCCCACTTTCCTCAGCATATAGTCCTTATAAGTAATACATCCAATTGAGTAAACTCATCTTGCAAATAAAAGAAGATTGGATAATGAGATATTTATTTCCCCTGTAGCAACCAAGGAAGGGGAGGAGTGGAAGACTTGGTCATACAGACAGTACTATGATGATGTGAAGAGAGCAGCTAAATCATTCATTAAGGTACCAACTTAACTTATGTGTTGGCACAATTTGAAAATGTAGTTTGTAAAAATGTTTTCAAGTGAAAAAAATTATATATCGCATTTAAGAGCTATCATAACTTTATCAATGTGTGTGTGTGTGTGTACGTGTGTGTGCATGTGTGTGTACGTGTGTGTGCGTGTGTGTGTGTGTCACCTGTTCCTGAAATATATTATTTAAATTAGAAAAATTAATGTTTTCAGCTTGGTTTAGATTCATTTGGAGGAGTTGGCATTTTAGGATTCAACTCACCAGAGTGGTTGATCTCCAACCTTGGGACAATATTTGCAGGGTAACTTGGGGAAATTTCTTTCATGATGGCATAAATTAAATTTCATAGAAATATAAAGATACATACATTCTAGCACAAGTAATAAGTGTGTGTTAACATAATTTTTATTTAGGGAATTTATTTGTCTCCAGGCATATAGAACATTTTTAGTGGAATTAACATCACCAACTGTGAGAATTTGCATGTGCCTAATGCTTAATTTTCATAAACAAGAATCTTATAAAGTATTCAGAATTTTACACAGCACAACAATGTATTTATATTCTGAATATATTGTTTTAGTGGTTTGGCCACTGGGATATATGCCACCAACTCCCCCGAGGCCTGCGAGTACATCATCAGTAACAGTAAGACCAATGTAGTGGTGGTAGAGAACAATGTTCAGCTGCAGAAAATACTGAAGATATGGGACAAAGTGCCCCACCTCAAGGCCGTAGTGCAATATAAGGATGAAGTTGCAGAGAGAAGGCCAAATGTGTACTCCGTATGTCATCAACTTGAAATGAATTTTCAAAAAGTGGTTGTGTATCCATATAAAGCATTGAAGCATATGTATTTTGTTTTAATATTTCTTTTTGTGATGGTGACTAGTTTTAACAAATTTTTATAGAGAAAAATTATCACCACCACTAAGCTGACTAACGCATTCATGCAATTTTGTACAAGGTCATCTTCTCTATCACGTTAAGCATGGTTTGCTTATTCCTTTGGACTTGGTAGAATTGTCATGTAGAATGGAATATTCCTTGTTATTAGCAATGGTGTTACTATTTTTCAAACTTTTGTTCTAATAAATGTTTTAATTTTAGTGGCAAGAGTTTATGGACCTTGGCAAGGAAACAGCAGACAGTGTTCTAGTGGAGAGAATAAAGGCTCAGAGACCAAACCAGTGCTGCACCCTTATTTACACAGTATGTTTTTATGTCCACACTTGATCTTAATACTTATTCCTTTTTTAAAACAGTTTTAGAAAAATGTTGACACTGTTTTCATGTGCTCATGCAGTCTTAGGTAATAGTATTGTTGGTCCACATGTCTGCCTGTTCATCATCAAAAAAAAAAAAAATTTGTTGTGCTCCAATGTAAATGCTAAAAGTGATAACTTAATGTGATTTGGTGTGTTGATGGGCTACATTACCTATTGTTTCTGAGCTGTTTCTGCCATCCAGTATATCTGCCATAGTTTGATGAGCAGTAATAAGGAGGGTCATGTAGTTGCACTTACTCAGTATTTATGGCTTTTCTGCTGCACCGATTACCACTAGTAAATGAATGCAAATTAAGTGTTATTATATTAACAGTATTTCATTACCATCTATATTTGTTTTTATTTGTACTGTAAACACTTTTCCACTTGCATTATTAATTTTTTAAGCAATTTAAAATTAATAATAACATTTGCAAAGCAAAATAATCAAATTCTCAAAAAGAATTGCAGTGAATTGTATTTTCATATTTTGTGGTGATTTCCAATTTTTTATTTACAGTCAGGGACAACTGGAAATCCTAAAGGTGTTATGTTGAGCCATGACAATGTAAGTATTAGCTGATATGGGCAGGGTTTTACTTTGGTTAGTCTAGTACGGTTTCATATTGTAGAACACAAATCCTTTAATCAATCTGAATTGAATTCAGCTAGTATGAAGAGCTAAAAAAATTATACATTTCTATTTGAATATTCCAAGTGGTGACCACCAATGTGGGCCCTAATGACAGAGGATACTTATCTGTGTGGGACAATATCAGCCAGTCTGCAAGACTGTTCATGTCACATTGCTGGTATTGACTGTTTCCTAGCATTAATGGTTCATCTATTATTATTATTATTATTATTATTATTATTATTATTATTATTATTAAAAACCATGTCTGACTCATGAAATATGAAGGAGAGTGATAATAAAATATATATATTTCAAAAGATAGTTATAAAAATGTCCTTATATGTACTTTTAAATGAGTATTCTGGTATCTGAACTTAGAACTTAGATGGTAGTCAGTTTGTTAACCAGGATGTATGGATTCAGTTCTGACAGGCAGCTGCTGTGTATGTTAGAGAAAAATAAATTCATTCACACAGTTGTATTACTATTATTAATATTATATATATTTCAGTATACTTGGTTATCTAGAAAGATCGTTGGAGCAACCAGGCTTAAGTTTGGTCAAGAGGTTTTGGTCAGCTATCTTCCCCTCAGCCATGTTGCTGCCCAGATTGTGGATATCTATGGACCTCTCATAGCTGGAGCGGCTGTGTACTTTGCCCGACCAGATGCTCTCAAGGTAAGGTTATTGAAGTGGGGTTGTGAAGATGTTATTTCAAGAGAAATTTGTAGTGTGGTTTGGTAAAACAATATGTCATTCCATTCATTTTTTATCCACCCAAGGAATGATGCAGTGTCATTAATCTGTTCTGATATAATTATAAATATACATATAAATCTATAAAACTGGAAGACTTGGGAGGGGAGTTTGTTTATAACAGGCAATATTTCCTTTGGTGGGGGTCGGTTTTGATTTTCAAGGAAAACTAAACATAGCATAGCTATTCACTTCAAATCCTATATGTAACAAGAAATTTTATATTTGCCATATTTTCCTCAGGGTACGCTACGTATCACCTTGAATGAAGTCCACCCAACTGTATTCTTTGGTGTTCCTCGAGTGTGGGAGAAGATCCAGGAAGGACTGAAGGAACTGGGGAAGCAGACGACAGGCATTAAGAAGAAGGTGGCCACTTGGGCAAAGGGAGTGGGTTATAAAGGGTCAATGAGCCTGATGAATGGGTATGTCTTTCTTTACAGATATTCTCTGTTCTAAAATTTTTTGTGCAAAAGCATTGGGTTGTAAGGGTTGTTTGCCTAGCTAGCTGTACTTTTGTAAAGAAGAACATTATACATCTTCTTTTCATCAGGTAAAATGTTTTTGAAATTTATGGCTGTGCTAAAGGGTGGGTTAACATTTTGGTAAGAGCCTAAATTTAAAATTATTCCATGCTGATGATTCCTATGTATATATACCCATTATAGAATTCTGAAATCTGTGAAGGTTTGCTCTCATATATTGCATATATCTGAATAGAGATGATTGTGTGCACAAAGGGGACATACCCCCAGTAGCAGTTTTAAAAAAGAAGAAGCTGCTAGTATTGAAGGCATGCATTTCTGTCTTTGCTTTAGTTCCCAAAAGAAAAAGAGTTCGTGGAAAAAGAAGTTATGGTAATTCAGCATGAGAAATTGCTTATTACTTTGGATTTTTCTCTAGAATCAATTAGGAATGGATTTGAACAAGCATGGTTCTGTTTCTTTAGTTACGGTTAATGAAAAAGGAATTAGTTTTGTTTAGTGAACACTTTTGTAGGAAAATGTTGTCATTTGATGTATTCGTTACTAATACTAGATTACTGATAAATGTTTTTTTAGTTTACAATGTGTTGGTTAATGCCCAGGTATTTCTAGAGCATTTGTTCAGATGGGTTGTAATATTGAACATTGTGTTAATCAGTTTTGTGTTTTTTTTTTAATCTGGTGTCTGATTCGTAGAAAAAAATGAAATTCATCTTACCCCCAAAAAAATTGTTTTCAGTTCAAACTTTTTACCTGATGTCACCCCAAAAATGCAATGATTTGAATGAAATCAAGGTTCAACTTAAAGATAAAATGTCAACTAACAGCAATTATTCTGAAATTATTTATTATTGTCATATAAGGATTATGGAAATATTTTTTGCAGTGTTTCAATGTGCGTTATGAATTGTCATGTGTGGCGGGCAGTCAAATTATTTCCATAAGCAAATCAAGTTCTATTTAAGATGTGAAAGTAACATGTCCCAGGTTTTTATCCTACTTGTTATCTGTAGTTATCAGAGTTGAGCACATTTTGCACCAGTGCATGATTTGAAAAAATTTGTCAGGCATTACCTTCTAATATGTATGTATTCTGCAAGTAAACCAAGCTTTAACTTCAAAATCTTAATATTTTTAATGAAATATCATTAATACCAGCTTCTGTATTCATCATTCTGTTTAAAATTTGCATAGCATATCTTTTCTCTCATTTCACGACATGTTCCCACTCAAAGAATATATACCCCACTTAGTTGAATAGAATAAAATTTGTATAACTTTTGATGAGAAAACCCAACTCATCTACCCATATCTTTGTCATGTGAATTCAGCAGCATTGTTTATGATTATAATTTTTTGTTTCAATATCTGGGTTTCAGTGGAGGTACCCCCTTTGGCTGGTCCCTGGCTAACCTGCTGTTGTTCAGGAAGGTGCGTACTGGGCTGGGACTGGACAGGTGTAGTGTCTGCAGCTGTGGAGCAGCTCCAGTGATGAAAGAAACCTTGGACTTCTTCCTGGGAGTGAACATTCCAATAATGGAGACATATGGCATGAGTGAATCCACAGGTTTGTTATCAGGCTGCACAGGGTTAAGTATTTATTGAAACTGTCACATTGCTTAAGTGAAGTATTGCACCAGTTGTACATGTTTTTTTTTCTAATGTTATTATTTTAAGATTCTGATGTTATTATTCAGGTGGGGCTTTTGTATTCAGCCATTACCTTCTGTTTCTTGTTGGTGATTTCAAGATGATTTGAAAAGGCTACTGATCAAACAAGATGCAACTTGTATTAAACTTTGGATTCAAGGACTGTTATTTGACAATTATGATTTTAAAAATAGTAGTAAAAATAGTAATAGAAGTAATTTGCAGGGGAGTAATGATCTTTGCTGGTCTGAGATATGAGAACACATTTTTATTGAAAGCACAAGAAAAATAGTGTTTTATGGAGTATTTTATGTCAGTATTTTCCCCTATGCCTTTTAAGTTTTATAGATATTTGCCTAACCATCCGTATTTTTATTTTCAGGCCCTCACACAATATCTGTGCCATGGAGGTACCGCCTGACCTCTGTAGGGTTTAATGTACCCGGCACCAAGACAGACATTCTTAACCCAGATGAAGATGGCTGTGGAGAGGTAAAGCTATGCAGCAACTTAGCTGATCATATTGATATTGGTGTGTTTGTAAATGGCATTGGAATCTTTTTTTTCTCTGGTACTGATAATAACAAAAATACAAATTACGTAACAGTGATAAGAATTCTTCAAAAACCAAACTCCATATTTGTCTCAGCCCTGTCTACAATGAAAGGATTAAAACAAATTCATGCCATCAAAGTTCCATTTAAACATTCTCAAATGTGCGATCAATATTAACCAATGATATGTGAGGAAGGAAGTACTTAGTGCAGGAAAGGTGAAGCTGCATTATCTGTTACAAGTTGTATATGCTGTTTTATTGCAATATCATTTGTTTTAACATATTATTGTTATTATTCATTTCTTGTCTTGTTAAACTTTTAATGGATCACTTTGCCTTTCAAAACCTCTATAAAACAGATAAACTTCCTCTCTTCAAAGTAAAGTTCAACCCTCACAAAAAAGTATTTTTGAAACAAATTGGTTATGGTTAATTTTTTTCCTTTTCACCTAAGTTTTTTTAATCAGGCTACGTTGAAGACGATTCAAAAGGTGTTTCTGTTTCTGTAGGTGTGTATGCGTGGCCGCCATGTGTTCATGGGGTATCTGGACACTGAAGAGAAGACCTGTGAAGCCTTGGATGCTGACGGATTGCTGCACTCTGGAGACATAGGAAAGATTGACAAAGATGGGTTTATCTACATCACTGGGAGAATAAAAGGTTAACCTACTACCGCCTGCTGGCTTTCCCTTTTTAGCTTTTTAACTTTTGGGGACAATTTTTGGATTTTTTAAAAATCTGAGCACCATGTTTTGGAATAGTTAGGATTCCTCTGAACATAATTTTCAAATAATGGTACTTTAAATTTTTGTCTGTAAATTTTGTTTTAGTATTAAATATATATATATATATATATAAATTGCTGGTTTCTGTTCTTCAGAGCTGATTATCACAGCTGGAGGAGAGAATGTGGCTCCTGTGCCCATTGAAGACACAGTGAAGGAGGAACTCCCAGGGATCAGTAATGTTATGCTGGTTGGAGACAAGAGGAAGTTTCTTTCAATGCTCCTTACCATGAAAGTAAGTTGCTGGAGAAGATTTAATGGTAAAATGCTGTTCTAGATTAGTTGCTGAAGTAAGGTTGCATAAGATTGTAAGGGATTGATGTCTTGTTGTCTTGATGTATCTCTATGTGCTTTCTTTGAATACAGATTTACCTTGGGGGTTTTTTCTCCTTTTTAATTTACAAATTGGACTACTAACATATATGTTAGTAGTCCAATTTGTAAATTAAAAAGGAGAAAAATATATGCATCTACTTTGTCACATATGCCATGCATTCTTGATTCTTTATCATATTATCTCTGTTGTTTCAAGGTAGAGATGGATGACGATGGTGCCCCTACAGATTCTGTATCATATGATCTCTATTGTTTCTAGGTAGAGGTGGATGACAATGGTGCTCCTACAGACAAATTAAGCAAGGTGGCCACAGACTGGTGCAGATCCCTGGGCAGCAGTGCCAGCACAGTGTCAGATATTTTAGACAATAATGATGCCAAGGTGTTAAAGGCCATTCAGGAGGGAATCGATAGGGCTAATGCAAAGTCCACATCAAGAGCACAGAAGGTGCAGAAGTGGTCACTCCTGGCCAAGGACTTCTCCATACCTGGAGGAGAACTGGGTAAGTGGACATTGAGTGCCCTTTGCCATCAATCTTTCATATTATTTGCATTTTTCCTCCACATTTCATGTGTCTGATACACAGCAAGACATGGGGCTTGGACATCTTTTTTTTTTTCATTTTGGGGGTGAAAAAAAAAAGTTTGCAATATCTCCAATTGGTATAGATGCAAAAATTTACCTGTTTTTACTCAATGGAAATCCTTACATCTATCAATTTTCCAATATTATAGACTTGGGATTAAATATATGTCCTGTAATTAGATTAAAACCAAAATATTGTACCATTTTTGAATTACTATTATTTACTTCTTTTTATTTTCTATTTTTAGGACCAACATTGAAGTTAAAGAGACCAGTGGTTTCCAAAATGTACAAAAATACTATAGACAAATTCTATGAGGAGTAAATTTAGACACACTTTCTTTCACAACTGCTTTCAAGAAGCTGCCAGCAGAAATTGAAACTGAACAGTTACAAGAATATGCAAAAAATACCCTTTAATCTTTCTGTTCACACGTGGAACTTTTAAAGCAAGCGTCTGTTTATGATTAGCAAAAAATAATTTACCAGCTGAAAGAGACTTGCATTAATGTTATTAAATGCCACTTCATTTTCTCCATAAAGTATCTGAAGACAGGGAAAGTAATTGCCATGTGATTGTGAGTGAAATCCATTGATGACCTTCAGACCCTCCAATATAGGTTCATGAAACCTTCACCTGTCAGGTCATATGCACTTAATTTGGAAAATGTACTTTTACTATTATAATACCTTAGCGCATTGTTAAGGTAAGATGCATATTATGGAAGCTCACCCATACTCAAACTTCCTGAGTTTAGTCCAGCTTCAGAGTGAAAGAATATATACCAGAAGCTGTAGTGTTATGTCTGACAATTACATTATTAGTCATTCGATCACCTTTATGTTGCTCATGTGTTTGAGTATGAACAAGCTTTTCGAGTACAGGCCAGAGTCCTTCCAAAATGACAGATACTAGTACAATATATTTATGCAAGAGGTTTAAGGAAATCTAGATTAGCCAGCATGTATTTACATGTAGGTAAGCAGCAGAACACTGTTTTATGTAAGATTAGAATTTATCATAAGCGGAAGAAGGCATTTATATTGAGAGAAAAAAGGTTACTAGGTTCATAAATAATTTCAGCATATTTCCAAAGTATTTTTAACAGAGAGTGATGCTTTTGTATATTTTTTCTATTAAGATAATAATTTTGAAAAAAATACTGTATATAGCAGTTATGTATGTGAAGACTATCCATGTTTTCAATTGTTAATGGTTGTGATGACGTCCCTAGTTTTATGACGTGTGGGAACCCAATTTTGGCACTCAATTGTGTTTAGAATAATATCAGGAAATTGACTTTGGTATCAATTTGAATGAGAGTTTGCTGTCGTGTTCAACCCAAGACTGTTTAAGTAATGTGTATGGCGCCACCTGGTGATTGCCCACAATATAACTTAAAACACTGCAGATTTTATTCCAGTTTCAGTGAAGAATTGCAAAACTTATGATCCATAAAATTTGCAAAAATGGTCTTTCTTTTACATTTTAGAAGTATGTGTCGGCCTATCAGCATCACTTATGTTTTTGCTTTTTTCTTTATTAGTGAAGTACAGCTCTGGTAAAGAGTCTGGTTCCAACCTATTTGCTGAGTATTGAGTGCTAGGAAATTGCTAGAAAATTGACATTTTTGAACGTGGGATGTAGACTTCCTTTCAACATAAAATAATTGACTCAAAGAGCAGTATTTGGAGTTTGAGAACAGCAGAGAAAGGTTACTAATACATATTAGATAAGATTAAGAGACCGATTCTCCTCACTGCCTTTGTTCAATCAGATCTATAATTAAAGTACATATCTTCTCTTTTTCCTTGTCAACTGATGAGCAGAAATAATATATCACAAAGCAATGATACCTGGACATGTGAAATCTGGCATAAAACATGCAGAAAGGATTCATGATTCTGGAATAATCGTGGTAATTTCTACATTATATTGCTGATACTGATGCCTCAAGTTCTGTGAACAGAAAAATTCTCAAAGGTGATCAATGTGCAGACTGATAGTCATCAATAGTTTGTGTGGAAAGTAGCATTTAAGTCAGCATTAACCTTGTCCTTGTTCTGTGAATAGATATGGCCAATGGCCACAAGAATTTAAAAAAAAAAAAGAACATTAATTGGTCGGAAAATTAGTAGACCTGAAGCCAACAGCATGCTTTTTGCAGATCTCCAAATGGCTGAATTTTAAAAGATTACTTTGGTTGTTTTGATGACAAGTGTCTAAGACAATATTGTAATTGTTTGTATCATCAGTGCAAGTCTAAGCTAAATCTGGTGAGAATGAAAGTGGAGGGTTGGAAGTTAAGGAGTAAATGGCTACATTAGGGCCCTTAGCACATTAATCAGTATTGCTAAACTAGAGACTGCCAACTCGGTAGCCTGGATTTTATGTAATAAAGTCACTGAAATGGAGCCTCAGGCTCCACATGGCCAGTTGATCAACTGAACAGCAGGAAGTAGATGTGGATAACTTGTGAGAGAGTTTAAACCCCTGTAACATGATAACATGCTGGGACCTCTCATAGTGAACCAGTTCACTTGGGTGTTATTATGACAATTTAGAATACATGTAATAGTAGAGAATGAATCATCACTAATTACTTACATATTGCTAGTGGTTTACGTGTAAATATATATATACAACACAACTTGACAGGATTATCATTTTCTTTGGTTGAAGAAAGTATATCCATTGACTTATTTGTGTTAGCACTGATACATTCCATGGAATTATCATATGTATAATGCACAATGCTTTTTTTTCTTTGTTAACTTTTTATTGTTGTTTGTTACCTGATAATGTTGAATTGGAATGTTTTGTATGGCTGTGTTGGTAATTTCTGGAACTTCAACAGCTTGGGTTGGGGTGCCTATGGTTTAGGTATGAAATGTAGCATATAATTTGAATAAAAGTTAAGCAGTGTTTGAATATGTTTTTTGTTCATTTAATCTGCATGTATCTTTCATGAACATTCAAACATCAAAATGGAAAATTGACCAATGCATTCTATATAGCTGAAATAGTAGTTCACAGACAATATGTATGTCACAGGTCAGATCCTAATCTAGCCCACTTCAGAAGTGGCCCAGACTACATCCCAATTGGGTCTTTGCATTGTTAGCAGCAATTGGGTCTTTGCATTGTTAGCAGCATAATGAGCGTGCTCATTGGCCAAGTAATTTACAGGTGAGCTGCCAATTTGTTTGTATGGCATGTGTAATTGAATAGGGGAAGTCATAGATCAAGGCAAATATTATGATAAGCATAGTGTTATCAGCATAGAAGTTTTTGAGATAACTTCCATTTTTTCTTACAACCAGGAGCTCCACTTGAACAATCTTGTTGAGTGTGAAACAGCTCATCCTGAAATGAGAAGTAAACTGATTGAAAGATTCCATTAGATGCACATTCTTTTACGATGAAGTATATTCCTTTTATAATCTAATCAAGTGTATCTGTGTCAGTGTTGGTGTCCTTCACATTTGTACATCCTACCAAAATGCATTTTCCTTTTACCTGAAAAAAATTATTCAAAAATAGTCTAATTAAAAAGGTAAATATTTTTACATACATTTTCACATTTTTGGTTATTGTATGCATATCTCTGTGTTGATAAACCCAATAACCTGCCAGGTCAGACTTTTGGTTAACTTTAATTTCAATGGTTTTTTGTGGTAAAAATGAAGGTCAAGTTTCACAACTCAGAGTTTACTTTAAAAAAGTTATATATATATATATATATATATATATATATATATATATATATATATATATATATATATATATAAGCAATACTCTTAGTGCAGTTAATCTGTTGACTTATAGACTTACCAATAAAGAACATTTTAACCAAGATGTTAAACAAGAACCAGAAAACCATTAAATTTGTATGAAAGTGACACTGTAACCTCAGAACTTTATGGATTTTCCTTTTATATTGGGTGTCCTTCAGAGTATCACTGTCTAACCACATTTCTGGCTAAATTGACCTTTTAGCAGGCTATCTATGAACAAAATGCACATAGAGATTGAATTCAGCATGTTCACATATTTCAATTTTAATCATCCAAACAACAATTTCAAGGATGTTAAGCTATATGACATTTGCCATGCGGTACTCGTATACTTCCAGTTAATCCCTTTTCGAGCGGCATCTGTGCGGAGCCAGGCGATGGCCGCGCGAAAACGTACGAAATCATACGTTTTTACGATCTTCGTAGCCTCTATGATTTTATCAATCTAAAACTTTTGACAAATTTTGAAAATTGTTTATCCGTAGGCCGTAGCATTTTCGTAGATGGCATGACGCAGTTCCTGCACGGGCATTTGCTCGGTGAACTTGCGGTGATCGTGATCATGGTTGAACCAGTGTATGAAATGGCCGCCTGCCCGCCAGCCCGAGGCTGGTAACTTTCAGGCCGGGCGGGTAAGATTTGCAGATTACCCGCCCGACGGGCTGGCTGTTTTTACAGCCTATTTTCACCTTTTATTTTGTCTATGTTCACAAGCGATTTCAGCAAAATATTGAATAAACTCACTGTTTTCACCCACTTTCATAGAAGCAAAGAACTAACCATAGCTTGCAATCGAACGCTCGTATCGAAATGTAACCAACAGTCTCCCTCTCAGTGGCCTCGTTTTCGAAGTTCTGTCTGTGTGATATGAAGTTGAAAGACAATTTGAAACGAGGCACAATGTCTTTAACCAGCTTCAGTGCACAGCAGATAACGTTACGTCATTGTTTTGTGTAGAGNTTGAACCTGTTGTTGGTCTCGTTCCCTACCTTGAAATTAGAATTTTGATTAGCTGAATCATAGTTCTAAACCGTACCAAATGAATCCCACGCCAATGTGGGGAGTGGTGGGGGAAGATCGGACTCGCATCCGCCGACCCACCCCTGATGTGGGCCTTAATTATGATTGAAGTCAACTTACATTTCCGAAAGGGAGTTCGACCAATGAATATAATGTGGATTTTCTCTGGCAATTTAAGAAATGACCCCTTAGACACAAGGTAAAATGCGTATCCATCTGCATATGAAGACAATCAATCTCATGCATTAAACAATATTCATGTTGACTCCTGTTTTGTTTACCCACATTATCTTAGGTGTTTCAGAAAGGTCATTTTTATGTGAAGGTGAGGTTTTATCGGTTTAAAAAGCCTCCCTATATATTGTCCAAACTGTTTCCTGTTTAATGGCTGTATATTTGCAAGCCTTGCTGTATATTTGCTGGAGTGATATGAATGGACCCACACCCTCCAACACACATACGCACACAATGGGATTGGAGAAAACTCGATACAAACATTGCATCAACAGACATGTCCAAGAGTGATGTCTGAAACTAGTAAACTCTTTCGCCAGAAAACAATAATTGTTCAACTTCCGTTGATCCTTAGCATGGAAACAAAACACGTTGAGGAGAGTCGAAATATACTGGAGTTTTATCTCAGAATTAATGAACCACTGAGATAGAAAAATATGACCTTTTGTCAGAGGAGGATTTTTGCCCCACATCAATGTATTATCTGCCCAGCATCTAAACCTACAGCTCATATTTTGGTGACATTTCAATTTGATCCAAATTCGATTGCCTTCACACTGATGAAGACGGCTTACGTGTGACGGGCCAAACAAGAGAGTCGCCGCAGCCCACTAATTTTGTTTAAATAACGTTTAATAATACCAGGATGTTTTGCTTTACATCATGGGTAATTAAGATAAACACATGTATATTTGATTATTGGCAAATTAAATGGTGTTAGTAGGCAAAAACTGAGCGGTTGGGCGGTTTACGTAGTTGTCTACCTCCAATTACCCTCTGATATGAGGGACTTTTAAAATAGTACACAAAATTAATTACAATAATTTTGTAACAGACATACTGAGATCAGAGTCACCTTGCATGCATTCCATACTTAGACGGTCGTCTGCAGAGATGCGGTAAGGCCACAATGATCCGAATTTAAAGCGATCCATGTAAGTTTCCCGTGGGTTTCTAGTGAGTGTAAAGGTTAGGTCTTAATTGTCAGAATTTTTTGTACAAATTCGCTTTCTGCTAAAAATCTTAGCATCACAGTTAAAATGGCATTTACGACAACTCTCTTTAGTACAAAGATATTATCTATAAGACCACGGTCAAGAAGTAATGACCTCTGGTAGTATTATGTTGTACCTTCAATAGTTTTCAAAGAAGTCAAGCAATCGTGAAATAAAATACATATAAAAACTTTTATGCAAAAAGTCACGAAATTTTCGGGACAGGTCAGGAATGGGCTTGCTTTTGGTGGTGATTAATGAATCATTTAATAAGTTAACTAATAAATAAATTATGATCTATAATGAGAAATGTTCTGCTAATGTTTGCGTTCTCTGAGTGCTTTTCTAGTTTGTCCATTGGTTCTATCTGCTCCGACTAGGAAAACAAAAACTGACATTTCGAGCTTTAGGCTAACCCATCTTGTTGCACATTTGTTATATGAATATGGTTAAATTATTTCTTATTTTGAAACAAATTGGAGCGTACCTAGCGCTCATATATGTATACTTTTCACAAAGAAACATTTGTATCGTTTATATGAGATAAACCCCGCCTCCCCCCCTCATCTACGCCTATTTGATTTCTGTTTGGCAGATTGCCTATTGTAACCCAAAAGAAAAGTTACAGCATGTAGATAATGCATATTCAAGTTCTGTGATGGTTAGCTGGCTTCCAGAAATGTTTCAGTTAGGATTGTTTGTTAATTTATAAATTATACTATACATATCGGTGCAATCATTTCATTACGAAATTTGATGTCCTTACTTACAACTTAGTTAACACACATATTAATCAGCATGAAAGTAACATATCCCCTGTACAAGCAAAAAATCGTATTCTTAATTAGAATACTTTACTGATTTGAAATGTTATGGAGACAGACCTTCAGCGAGAGCGTAAGATACCAAGTCAGTTAATGCTAACACAACCGGTTGAAAGGCCACTTTAGAAAATTGAACCGGAGGCTTAATTGCTATCCCCGTCTTTCCAAAACCATCGCCGTCACATTTAATTGGCGCTGAGGATTGATTTTGTAACTGGAACGTTTCGCCTAATTTCGTCTGATATTCATTACTTCCATTATATGAAGACATTTTAAAGTTGATTGAGCTTCCTGGATGAGAATTTAATTATAGCCGAGTTTCGACGTAACAGGCTTGTACTTCTTTAATCAAAAGAAACCACCAAAATACGTAGCCAATCTTTTATCTTATTGATATTCATAAAAAAGCAAAGATTGGGGGAAAAAGCGTCCCATTAAAATGATTTAGAGTCATTTTGTATCCTGTAATATTGTTTCCCTTGGGATGCTTGTCTAGGACTTTGAACATTTGCTCGGTATTGTACCACCGTCACAGCTTAAATGTCAGAGTAGGGTGAGCAAAAATCCTTTTACACTATTGATTTCTCACGTAACCTGTAAGCTTAATTTCAGCTCAACTTCACTCAATACCTGCTGGTAATGAAAATGCATCTCATCATCGTGTGTGAGAGGCGGCAATGATCTCTGGCCCGAGTAGGCAAACGTTTTCAGAGGCTTGCTGCGAGGAAGTCCTTTGTTCTGGCGCAAGTCTGGAAGCGATCTATTGTCGCGCGTCCAGGCAGTTCTCTACCGCCCAAGGAGCTGCAAGACGAGGTAAAACGATCAAAACGCGTAAAGTTACTTTATCTTTTTATGTCCAACTTTAATTATACTCAGAAAGCCGTCTTTCGTGACGGTTTGTGATTCTATTATGGTTGCAAATGACTTCATAATCGACCGTAATTTTAAAAGTGCGAAAATATAGTGGTTTGATTGAGATTTTTCAGATTTTTCCATCAGTGGAAACCAACTTGATTGTATTTCTAAAGGTTGCACTGTATTTACAATATTCTTTTGAAAGTGTTTGTTAAGGTATTCATTTCCTTGGCATCAAGCAAGCATAAGGGCACACACATGGGTTTCAAAGTTAAGGTGCATTTTATTAAGATAAATTGAATACACAATCACACGTTTGGTATTCGTCTCATCGTGTCTATAGGCCAACGCCAAAACCAAGACTATTTATATATATAAGACGTGTACAAATGTAATTGCACTTACCTGTTACCCATTAGACAAACGTTTATTACAGCAGCATTTGTCATATTCGAGTCTGTTTGCCAGTTATTTTACCTTTACGAACACATTCAGTTCAGTTCAGCGCATTCTGCTATACTGGATAGCAAGCCTAGTACTTATATGATTAAAATTAGAGGTATACAGTATGTCATACCCAAAACATACTAAAATCTTTTAAACTTACTTATACAAAATTGTAATTGAGGTTGATCTTACTGATAGTCCTTCCTACTGATTTCACGTGCGTGATAATTAAATGTTTTATAGACATGAATCGTAAAATAAACTAAAAATTACCCCAGCGGGTCAATGTCGACTTCCATCTTCAATCACCGAGTCCCCTGAAACACTATATGAAGTGGTCTTTTGGGGATATGTAAAGGAAATGACTGGCATGAGTACAGTGTAGTGTTTCAGAAAAACCATGCGTTTAAAGAATAATCCCTGAATGGAAACTTATTCTTACTTATCATTATATCTCTTCTTTACGCTTGCAAAAAAAAAAAAAAAAAAAAAAACATAGCAAAATAACGCAAACTAGTGGCATCAAACGACAACGGGTCACAGTAAATTTATTTTAGTAGGCTAACTTCTTCACTCAAGGACGCCATACTGTGAATTTTATGGACTGAACATAGCAGGGGGCGTAAATGCCAGCAGAATAATCGCCAACTATTGACTAGCTACTATTTAATGAAAATCCTCCGTAATGTGCTCATACCAAAACAAGAATCACACTGTTAATCGAGTAGTTTATAAATTTTAAATTATTTCCATGAGGTGCAATGCATATGCCATAATATCATTAAAGGGATAACAACTGTTCATTTTGGCCAAAAATGAATTTTTCTGGGGTAAAGGACAATTTTTCCAAACTTATCAATTGTAAATGAATCCATTCCCACATTCAAAATTAGTCTCTGGTTTTTTTCTAAAACGTTTGGTTTTTTGTAATAATCTCTTAAGAGATTATTGCAGAGTGTACCCATCTATGGAGGTCACGTGATGTGATGGCAAGCACAAAGTTAACTGTGTTAACCGCCGTTTTGGGGGTAAAATAGAATTTATTGTATTTCTGTGAGTTATTTACGATGTATTATTGCGAAATATGGATATCTTACCAACGGTTGCTATCCCTTTAATTGCCTTGCCTTCTTGTCTTCATTTTAACCATGAATATCTTCATATTTTGATGGCAACAATGTATAAATTCCTAATTCCATTGAACGGCAAAGCAGGAAGATGAAAGAGTGAGACACCACAAGAACCTCTAAGATAAATGTAGATGCTTTGTTGTGTTTAAGGACGTTGACAAACGTTATTAGTTTTAAAGATGAAAGAAAATAACTGCAGCATTAAAGTATACTGTAAACGGAATTCCCTAATCGTCTCCCAATGACATCTAATTCAAGTATTTAGCGTATTGGCATGCTAGTTTTGATGAGAGTAGAAAAAGACATTAAGAAAAAAGAAATGGCCTGCTTAAGTAAGCAGTCTACGTTATACTGAGAGTCAGATTTCGATCTACAGAGGAAATATATGAGAGGAGGAAGACGGAAAGACGAATTAAAGCTGTACCTAATATCAACGTATTATTAAGTGCGCCATTCTTGTTATATCCACGGACAGAGAGACGGACAGAAAAACAGATTTGGCAAACAAACATTCAAGAAGGCAGACCAGCGGATAGGCAGACAGCTAGGCAATAAAGTACCTGCTCAAAATTTTGCATAATTGCAGCTGACATACAAAGTAAAATAGAAACAAATTTTCTACTCGGCAAATATCGAGTAGAAGAGCTTTAATTACTTAGACTGTAAATTTTAACATCAAACAAAATGCTAAAACAGACCCCATTCAAGGCAATTAAATGACTACGTTTTATGTAACGCCAAAGCTAAATTACACACAACATTAATATTGGCATTAGGCAACTAATGAGGTTTTTCCATAGTTTATAGGAACGGAAGAAGTATCAGACCTGTGACCTGTGACCGCGCTACTATTCCGAGTATTCGTGCTGTTTCGCCTGGATGTTTTGAGGTAATTGAAACTACTTTAGCTTTACGTAATATAGATCATTGTGACCTTGGACAGTAACGCCAAGGGGAGGCGACCTTTGTGCCTTTTTTTATGCAACCGTTAAATTGGTCATAGCAAAGTTGAAGGCTCAAAGGAGGCACAGTGGTCGCTCAGGACGTACACGGGGGGTGCACAGGATGTTCAGACAAAGGTTGAAGAGTTGTTTGCTAAAAGATGGCTTTTCTGAGACAGAAAGGAGGTACAAGCATCGCTGTGGTTGCAGAAGCTTGCTGCAGACCAGCCTACATGCTTGCTCTCCGATTCTTACTTTTTATCGTAATTCTAGGGCCAACCCTTTGGAAAATTTAAAATTCACCGACTCCATTCAAAGGTAATTATAAAAGGCCCTTCATCTTCTAGTCGCCACTCTATAGACTCTACTTAGCCGGCTCTAGTCTTGAATTGTAACCCTCTGAGTTTTGACAGCCAGGGGCAGACCGACTAAGTTCGTGGTCTCCATCCTTTGCGTCTGTTCACTCTGCTTCCGAGGACAACAATGGCCACCTGGTTCCCAATCAGTGCATGCGGACATAGTAATGAGGTAGTATGCAAGATGTTATTAATCCCTTAGTATCTTTCTTCTGGAAATGCTTTCATTTGTGCCACTAGAATGGAGCTGTTGAAAATCAAGAAAAGCGCCAAAACCAAATCACCCATATACCCATAAATGGTCCCTAAAACAACATTCGTTTGTCCCACAGAGGCATGTTTGAATTGTTACCAATGAACGATGTTAGCTAATAATGGTACAGATTGAGATTGATTACTCAATACCATTTTTGTAACATTATGATTGATTACTCAGCATTTTCGTAGATCGGTTGTTTTGTTTTAAATCGGGTCGGAAACCGTGGGCTGCACAGGGCATGCTTGATCTCAGTGGGCGACCAGGACAACATGAACATTTCCGATTTGGTCGTTCTAGGGGTCACAAGGAACTCTGCAGCAGTTGCACATGAAGGCAATCTTTGTCTCTCCATTGTACAACTATGAATGGGTCCCGGTTGCTGTTTTAGACCCAAAGGAAGTACAGAGCTCGATGTTCGAACCGGTCGTACAAAGGTCGAGGATGAGGCTGGTTGCTCAAAGGTGGCTCAAAGGAGCCAGAACAGAGGTGCAAGTTTTGCTGTGGTTGCAGATTGAATACACAATGGATGGTCAGAAATCACCATGAAGGCTCTTATAGATGCAATTGCTACTGAGAATCTGGGAGATGCTACTGCCACCATTGTGCCTTCCTTGTCGTACCATTGGTGCCCAATGAACAATGATTATGGTGACCACAGAACCTGCACGGCGAACTTTGAGCGACTATGACAATATTTCTCTCCCTTTCTTCCTCTCTTCTGCACCCTTCATGTTTCCTGTCAACTTCTTTGTCGCAACCCGCTCATCAAAGATGCAGAGTATTTAGATTTTGTCCTAAATTATTCTGATCCGTTATCATATATAAGGTTCTAATAAATAGCGATGATAGCTCGGGTTCTTGTCACTAGTGGCAAGGAATATGAGAGTCCCAGATATAGCATCAAACCAGCCTCCAAGCTTGGTATTCTTGGCTTCTCCCTTAGCTTCTCCCTTTCTCCCTCCCATGGGCTATCCCTATGTTCTCCAGGTTGCTCAAAAGAAGGCAAGGATCTCCCGAACATCGCTGAGCTGTAACATATTAGGAAGAAGCCTAGTGGAATGGTTGTCACTGATCACCACTGATGATACGGAAAAGGCTCAGATGGGTCTCGATGGGTGCTTAAACAGTGCTCGGGGTTCCCCGTGTTGCCTATACACACGTTGAATGCCATAGTAGGTTGCACATGAACCTACAGGGGCGGCAGGCAAGTGTGTAAGCACAGGTCGCTAGTAGTAGTAGTAGTAGTAGTAGTAGTAGTAGTAGTAGTAAGAAAACATTAGATTGAGTTGTTCATGAGAGGCACAGTGATCGCTGGAGCAGAAACATGGTTTTCTGGGTTCAGCGACAACTGAGCGTCTGGTAATATTTTGTCTTGTGTAGATGAACCCTTCAGAATAAAGCTGTGCCGCCACAAAGTTATGTAGTGTTTGTAAATACATCGTCACTGCACAGCACTATTATTTGAATTTGTATGGGGGCAGAACAGCTTCAGGACTGGGATATACAAGTTATATAGAGTGGACAGACCCAGCAGCGTGTACCTCTCCTGTCCTTTTGTGGTCTAAATATGGTATTGCTAACCCATCATGGAAGTCCCTGAGGCTTTATCGTTCATTGTTTTGTGTCGTGTCGGCTCCAATCGGTTTTCCTTGAATCATACGCTATAAAAAGACGAGGAGATTTGTGTCACGATTTCCTGTAGAGTAGCATACACGTATGATTAACGTGCCATTCATGAGAGAAAAACGTGACACTTAAAGAAAGAAGACTTGTTCAACGTTGACACCTATTCTGGGCCATAATCGCTTTTTTGAGAGGTATAAAGCTTCTCAAGACATTAAAATTAATCGACATGCACAGTGATATAGTGAAATCATTCGAGTTAAAATTTATAGCAGGTTATGTTATATGTTTTAGGGTGTATTCTGAAGAAAATCCCCACGAACATACCATCTCCCAAAACGTTTTTACATCGTATTTGAATAGATTTCGTACTGATCAAAATCTTGACTTTCGATGCTTTTTCTTTACAACTTTTTCATCTTTAACGTTGTAAACATGGTATTTATCGCAATTTTATGATGATTTTTCTTTGAAATGTCCAATGAATTCCATGCTGAACTTTCAAGTTGGTAAGGTCACATCTGTTTCTCGATGTGAAATGAAAGAAGTTCAAAACTTTCCAACTCCACACCTTGATGTTGCCGTTTCAAGTGCTGGAGTAGATCTTATAGAAAGCTGCAAGCCCAACCTTGATGCCAACATAATTGATCTAGACGGAAAGATGATTTAGCCTCTAACCCCGAGAGTAACCTGAGCGGAACGATGTGGTGAGTGCTCAAAAAAAGGAGCCCATTTCCTATAATAACTCAAATAACCCGTCAAATTAGACTAAAAATACAAATATAAATAATGGGAACTCGTGGAAACCTCTTTTAATAACATGACAAAGGCCTATCCATCCATTTTAAACTTTAAAAGAGATACTGTTTTTTTCCAGTATTTCTCCTTCTGCAATCAAATTTGGAGCATGTTTACACTATCGCTGGAAAGATTTGATTAATATACCTCATTTCAAAAGAATTCCTGTCCTCCTCTACCCTAAGATCCTGCAAAAGTTACTATTTCCGAGAAGATAAGCAGTTACAACATATTTTCCAACCCGCCCCCTCAGATAATAAGACAGAATTTAGCTATAAAAAGATCCTCCCGGTGCTCGAGGGTAAGTGTAATTAGTTTTTTTTTTACTTATATGCTCTCTTGTGGCTAAGAAGATGTGTTTGATAACCCAATTATACATGTATGTAGTGCATTTATGTAACGTATAAAGATTCTTGAAAAAGACTTGCACCAAACGGTTCATTCGAAAACTTACTTTGTGAGCCACATCAAACACAAGCTCACTTTTAAAATGCATTCCTTTGCAACACTGTTCTTAGTCCTTATGGATACGTTGAACTTTAATCGTTGACAGGTTGATTAATCAATACAATTTACAACACCAACAGCGTACTGTACGTAATGTACCTGTATCTCCAATGTGTGGTCTTGGTCCTTCAGGTCCAGTGAATGTGGGAAATTATGGAGTAGTGTTAAAACAACACGCACATGCCTCTGTTAAATGATAGTTAATGAATCTTAGATAATTTCACTGACATACAATTCCAACGTTCTCAGTTTGTTAATTCTTTCTTTCCTGTAGGGTCATGTTTCTTTCTAGTGACTGCTTCATTCGGTAAATGTGGTGTGTGTAGGCGGCTGTTCTTTCTCTCACCAATTATTTTTATTGAAAATTCATTGATGTATTATGTTATCAGACTCATATGCAATAAGCAAGGATGGCCAAAGCACTAAGTTTTCTCCGCTGCATGAGTTCTAGCCCAAAGAAATCCCTTAACAAAACAATTAGTTTCCGATAAATTGTTTCATAAGGCATTGCGCGCAGCAGTGCCTTGAATTACAACTTGTTTTGTCGGCGCGCAAATGATTTCGACAAAACACATGCTTGAAGGTACTCTTGCTTTGTTTGTAAGCGATTCTGGGAGATTTGTAACAAGCGCACGGCCGTCTGGTACATTTAAATATCGTTATGTCACATCCTGAGCAATGTAATCGTGGGCGTAAGGCGTGCACGATATTTATCAAAGGGTATATAAAGCAAAATGTGTTGTGACGCCTTCATTTTTTTTACTTAGGGAAAACAGAGTGTTTGAAGAGCTGCGGCAATACTGTTGAATTTTAGTGATCAGGTTGGTTTAGTAGGATTACATGCATCACCTAATAATTTTCAAAGCGTCACTTGTACGTGCAGTTCATATCGATCTGTATAATAATCTCATCAATTTATTTTTCCAGCAAAAAGGCGTATAATACCGACCTGAGTGGTAAAGTTAGCCGACATCGTAAACTGTTCAGTTCTACCTTCCTTGTTAAAGACAACGTTTCCGCAGAAAACTTATACTTTATGTGAACTGGCAGCTTGTCAGCCCGTTCATCAGAAGGTGTGGCAAGAAGCAAGCTGCTGGCATATTTGTAGTCTTCGATCGTATTTAAGAGCAGATCAAGCGGCATTTTTACGTTACATATCGGTAGAGGAAGACGCTTGTTCTCTCTCTGGGTCAAAGACAACAGGACATAAAGGGACAAAGAGGGGGACGTGTACCTGATAGCGAAATAACTGTCATCGTTTTCATCTGGAGTTGGTAATTAACCTGGCCCGCAGGTCGTTTGCACGTTGTGGAATAAATCAAGAGACGTTGTTTATATCGATCGCAAGATCACGGCGGCTCAACATTTGCGTGTCCACGTAAGATTTACGATCGTGTGACAAGGAAATGAAAAGGCATACATTTATTTCAAATGTCAGAGGCAGAGATTTCTAAGAAACACAGGATAATATATACAGGATGGCCAAGAAATTACTCGTCTAAAGTAACCAGGAGTCAGCTAAAAAGAACTCGATACGGGGAATTATTCAGAGAAGACTAAATTAAACTTCATTTGCTACTTGGTTATCATAATAAAATTTTCCTGGCCTTCCTGAACTGGACCGTGGCCATGGAGATCGGCAATACGACAAGTTTCTGGGTAAACTATTCCACTTTCAATCATCCTCCTGACACCATGCTGAACACAAGCGGCAAAGTAACTTCCTCGATTTCGAACAATCAAGGGAGCTGGACAGAAAGCGGCATTACAGAAATCTTCTTCACTTTCGACAAACCAGCAACCGTGGTCTTATTTGCTTTGTATATACCGATATTCGTTGTTGCACTGTTTGCAAATGTTTTGGTAATTTACATTGTGATGCGGTTCAAAGCGATGAGAAGAGCGAAAAACTTGTTCATCTTTAGCTTGGCCCTGGCAGATTTGGGTGTGACATTCATTTGCATGCCCGTTAGCTTAGGAGTCATCGTGTACAAAGTTTGGATATATGGTGCAGCACTATGCAAGCTTTCATGGTACATGCAAGGTAAGTAACCTTTCTGGTGAATGTTTGAGCTTTCTACTGTTTTGTTTACAAGAGTAACTAAGTCATAAATGCTAGACAATATGCTATAAATAACAATTTGTGTTCGACAGAATAAATGTTCATTGTCTGAGACATCCATTTGCTTTATTATGAATATATTTATCAGCTGCTAACACTATTCTTCATAAATGCGACAAATGAATACAACAACACAGAAGATAATCTTAATATCCCGAACACAGAATATCCCTTGAGCTCTCACAACCGATTACATATGGTGATGTATGGAGTTCAATCTTTTTTAGATGACAAGAGTTGTGTTCAGGAAAATTATTTGTTCTTTGCAATATTACATGTGCCCTTTTATTGATGGATTCATCATTTCATTCTGTAACCGCTGCCTTATCTGCATGAGTAGGCATCTGTTACTTTCCATCGACTAAACTATACATCAGTCTTTATTAGAGGGCGACACTTCGTCTTATCTTGAAAAGAAACGACTGATGGCATATGCAACTGAACAAAACATAGCGTTTTCCCTTTTGGACTGATAAATCAACTATCTCGTCAGCTGGAAAATAATGTTTGGCATCGTATGCAAACCAAAACTAAACGCGTATTCCAAAGACATGCCACTGTCGCGGTACTGGTGTGTCCAGTGACAGTACCGAACTGGCGTTTTTATGAAAACGGGCAGTTTTGTTAATGACGAGAACGGAATATCCATGTTAATATCAACCTTTTCATTTAGTCGCTGAGAAGAACCTATATTTAAGTACCGTAAAACAGGATTTGGGTGCATTTTTTAACGTGGCACTTTCATGTATTTGAAATGCCAGCAGTGCTTATTGCTTAAACCTGTGTGAAAGAGTTAATGCCAAACTTACATTTTAAAACCTTTTTTTTCGGTCTTCGTTGTGAAAGTAGCTGCATGTTTGGTTGTATAGAAATAGCAGTTCGAGTCTTTTGCTAAGGTACGTGTTGGGCTTGGTTTGTTACTTTGATTGTAATTCAAAGATCGATAAAAAGCAACCAAATTTTCCCGAAAACTTAATGAACTTTAACTTGACCAACTGCGTCTTATATCAGTCGATGGTTTCGCTACGACTGCCAAACCTGAAATGAGGCGGTTGTGTGATAAATCTTATGAATCCGATGATAACAAATGAAATAGATAATTTCAAGGGAAAATAAACGACTCCTTTACAAAGGTGTTGAGGATATATCAAAATTTTGTTTCAGCGTTCTTAGTACTTATTTCTATCACTTGGGACATGAGTTGAGCCTTCTTTGGTGTGACGGAAATGATAGTCCTAGGAATGGAAGTCGGGGTCCTATATGATTAGTACAGATTAAGGTTAGTCGGAGTATTTTGGTTAATACATGGGACAAATGTCACCTGTACAAAGTAATGGGGAACGGTTTCTACGGTTCCTACAGTTCCTAGCGGACTACCATTCCTGTCACACGGCACTACAACATGCAGAAGAAATGTGCCCAATAAATGATAATACTAACGTATTTTTTGCATACATCACAGCAAACGTTTTGGTGTTAAGAGTAAAAGCTATTATTTGGCTTAGTCATTTTATACTTACTTATTGTCCATCGACAATGAGGAAAAATGAAAATTGTCTCAAAGGTTTGATAGGCGCAATATAATGTTTCCCGTTCAGAAATCTGCATGCAGAAATGACCATAAGCGTTTTGACAAAGGCTTGACCAGTTTTGTTTGCCCGTTTGACATTTTCTTGGAAACTGCCACTTCGGCTGAAAAAAAGTTCATTTAGTATCATTAAGATCCAACAATTACAATTATCGACCCCACACTGTGCTTTAAAATTAGAGTAATCAGCAAGAAATCGTTATTTCTAGTGAGGAAAATTAGTTTAATTAGTTAAATTTGTTAGCACTGTTCCCTTCATTAGCAGTTTGTAATCCACTGAAAGTAGCTACACCTCCCTTTCTGTAGAGACAAAATTGGAAATCAACCAAAAATGAAGGGATACGCTTTCAAAAAGATCTTGAAGAGATGCAAATTCAGACCGTGGGATTGGTGATACGATGCGTACTTTAACCGATTATAAATGAAAGATATCGAACAGCTCTTTGTCCGTGAATTCGATATTCTCATCTTCCCTTTGTTTGATTTGAGTTTAAAACACCGTGTCGCCAGTGGCCCGTAATAGTACGGATGGATACAACATTTACATGTTCTTATGCAACGTGTGCTTTGCGCGATCAACATGAGATATTTAAACACATTTCAACATGATTGAACTGGGCCCATTGAACTCAAATAACAGCAACATTCATTGCAAGCCGATAAATATGATCAGGCCAATCTTTTATTACATACGGTCAGGCATGTGTCAGTCACAGTAACACTCACCAACATGTAATAAGAAATGTGTCTGTTCAGTGCAGTCAAGGGTTCTGGAAAATATTCAGGCAGTAAATGATCTGAATGATGACATTACGTCTGAACGCGTTATCTCAGCTTGATGTGTTACTGGAAATCTGGGAACGATGTTTAAATATAACCTCAAAACAGTGGGGGAATTTGTTCGTTCTTACTTATCGCGAAAGTTCGAGGAAATGTGCCACTGGCTTTTTTTTCAGTTTACCGTTAAAGCCGCCCTAACGCCTCGAGCGTGCTGGTGTAATTAACATGGTTCTTTTAAGGCTAATCAATTCTTTGGTTTTTCTTCACAGACATCTTAAAAGAACTCCGGGAAATCAAACAGTCTGTCAATTTCCCTTTGAGGTGAACCCGTACAATGTTGCTTTTGAAGACCTTGATCAAACGATTGGGTTGACAACTTAACTCTGTGCAATTTGTCTAAACCTTCTGGGACACCTTAAAAGAACTGCTAAAGAAAGTATTACCAAATCGAATGGTAGACTTGGTATCAATGACTTTCACACAGTAAATGAAACAATCAACTTGACTAATTTCTGTTGCTATCGGCGCGACTTCTTCTTATCTAATGTATTATCTTTAAGATCTTACCAAATGATTAGGTTTAGAATGCCTTTAAGTATAGTATGAACATTTATACAGCTATGGGTACAAATATAACAGCAACCTCACATTTACGAATTAGGCAGTCGCTGTTAGTGTTATACCGTATGCTTCAGGCTAACACATGCGAAATAGAACAGCAAGTGGCGCCTGTTTACGTCTCGCTATTGACCACCGCACCTAAATGATCTTTCCTACTTTGGCAAAGCTTTTCATTTGTGAGGGATTAATGCTGACATAGGCCAAAAAGAACACTCTAATTAAGAATCGATGTAAAAATGCAGATAAAAACAAAATGTTTACGATTGATAGAACGAAGTAGGAGCACGGTTTCAGAAAAATTGCTGAATGTCAGATAAACACGAAAGATCACGAAAAGACGTTTGATTCTAGTCGCGTTAAAACATACTGTATATCGGCCATTGCATGAAAAAGTTTTAACTGAAACCAGACACAGTGCAGCAAGAGACCATTTACAATTATTTTCATTGATTTAACCATATTTTGCATTATGTCATAAAAGGTAATCAACGTGAACCGTTACTTTACATTTGTCACAAATGGTCTTACATTCTGTGCTTACTATCTCCAAGAAAAAAAGAGAGAAATTTGATTGTTGAGGTGTAATGTCAATGGACCTGGCGTGTGAATATCTCGTTTGGAAAGACTGATGAATGCCCTATCTAATGTTGTAGGCTATGTTTAACGTGTCGTTTCTCGGTATATATGCAGACCGCGGTGCGACTATTTGGTCCACGAAATACAAAAATGAGCTCTGGAGATATAATGCCCACACGCATTTCGTTCCATTCTTATTCTTGGATTTAGCATCACGCTACTGGTAAAGCTGAATAAAGGCTGTAAACAGGAAATCTCTAAAGCTCCAAACAGAATTAGAATGTCGTTTGATTACTTGACTCTGTTTACTACTTCTACACACAAACAAAAAACGGTTTTGATTGGCATAACGTCAAATAATTTGTATTGTATCACTAACCTAAAGTTTCTACATCTTTTTATACATACTTAGTATACGAGTATTCTTTTACTGGAAATTAAGACATTAAGAGAAATAAAGACAACAACATGAGCAAAGCTAATGGTAAACAACCGAGATTCATGCATAAGTAAACCGTGCTATGTCTACTCATCAAGGCCAATCAATACAATCTCTGTTATAAATGAATTAGTATTTCCGTAGGCGTGTGTTAATTGTCAAAATATGTAGCAATCCGTTTTATACAAACCCATCTCAAAGTTTTTATTATGCCTTTAATTATTGTCTGTCAGTTAATTAACATCAGCAACAACACTTTATTTACAGGAGTATGTGTGGCTACCAGTATCCTAACCTTGCAGGCCATGGCGCTAGATCGTTATATATCAATTCGGCACCCGATGTCTGGAAACCGACTGAAAACAAGCAAACAAATCATTCAGATCCTGGCAGGAATCTGGGTATTTTCTTTGCTGTTCCTGGGGCCTATCTTATACGTACGACAAGTTGACAGTTATGCGCATCTGCCAGTGATAGGAAGTTTGGATTTCTGTGCTGAGAAATGGCCAAGACCCGACGGCAAGGATAAGATGGCTTACGGCATTCTGTTGCTGCTCATAGTTTACGTGATCCCCTGTGCTGTGGTTGCTGTTTGTTACGCATTCATCGGCAAAACACTGTTTTCTAAGGAGCTACAAAAGGAAAGTGACATAAACAATACGACGTCAACTTTGATTAGGGGCCGCAAGAGGGCAGCACGGACGCTCATTGGACTGATTATTGTATTCATTTGTTGCTGGCTGCCCTATAACATAACTTCAATGTATTTAGACGTCGTTTCCACGGAGACCGATGAACTTAAGATGCTGCCGTTCACTCTTTGGTTGGGACACGCTCATAGTGCTTTGAACCCGGTACTATATTGTTTGTTCAACAAGCGATTCGGAAAATACATTAAAAAAGCCTTTACATGCAAAAAAGAAGACTACAAAGCCCCACACTTAGCCAACCACTTCGGATAAAAATCTCTTTGGCTGCAAGGTTTTGGTCCTAACTCATCAGTTGCAGCAAATATATTTAACTGGCAAAAGCAGGAAATAACTTGGTGATTTTTTTTCTTACCAACGGTGATCAAACTTTTGATTGATAAGATAACAATGGTATAAAATAGTACGATGTCAGATCGAGAACCGCTAGGCCATGCTTGTATCGGTCTAGCTTCCCACACTTTGGAGTTTGCAGTGGACTGCAGCCATCCAACACGACTAGTGACAAAAGTGGCAACGGTCTATATGTAATTCAAGGGCGCCCGATTTTAACTTTGTATGAACAATGGTGCTACATTACTGGTTTTGTTTATCCATTTAATGCCATGACATTCAAAAACTGTTTATAACAAGATGTTGAGATATTCATGGTAATTGTAGACTGCAAGGCAGTTAATGATATTACTACGTATGCACTGAACTTTTTACATCGACAAAAATTTAAAAAAATCGAGGAGCAGTGTAACTCATAGTTGAAAACTTGCATACATTGTATTATATCTGATATTCAAATGAGCTTCAATAAGTAATCTTTACACATGTAATTATTTTGCTGACAATACATCACGTTCTTTCTCTCCCTTTCTCCCTCTCTCTCTCTCTCTCTCTTTTTCTCTCCCCCATTCTCTCGCTCTCTCTCACTCTCACTCTCTCTCTCTCTCACACACACACACATGTAGGCCTGCGTTGTCCCAGTACTGTACATACATGCACGTCGCATTTAATTACTATTTTCAGCATTGAACTGAGAATTTTTAGTGAATTAAAGCATTTCCTGTAATTGATTTTCAGTCCGTTATTTGATATCATATAATCATTTTGTTTGGTGCATATGCAAACACATGGAACAATGACAAACATATTGACTTAAACGCATCTGTGAAAAATGGCCGACTTAGTGATGCCTCGGGAAAGAGCCTAACCGTCAACTAAAGAGAAACATTAATTCCTTATCCCACAAAACGTCTCTGGCTTAAATAGAATGCGCTTCATCCAGTATGACATGTAAAATTCTTGGCAATCCCTCCAGTAATTTTGAGAACAGTTCCATCGATCGAGGGGCATGTCATAAGTGTGAATGTTGTGCGCCTCTAGTACTAGATATCAAATAATTGACGCCAGCAATTTCTTCACCCTGGAGTTGAGTAGCTGATGAAAACTCGTTAGCTGAAGGAGAACCGTGTGATGGTGCTGGCTGAAGAAGTGAGTTTTAGTCTAATAAATTTTTTAACTCAGGGTGGTAATACCGATCTTCTGAGTATTCCAGATAACTCGAGTTCAGGCTCGCAGGATTCCATTACATTTCTGTAAAATTTCTTGTGTGCAAAGCCCCAGTGGGCCTTTTGTATGCCTCACGAGGATGTTAGGATGATTATATCTTTGATTTAAATGAGGCTGCATTAAGCATAAAAAACTAAATCAAAATTAGATCGGCCGGGAAAAGCACTAAGCTTGTATCAGAAAAAGATATTGATAGCCGCCAAAACAGGCTCAGATTAATAATATTTCCGTAAAACGGTTTTGCATATGCTTGTTATAGTTTCACTCAATCTTGTAAAATATTTCAATAAAACGCAAAATAAAAAAAAAACATGTTCACGCGATAAATATAACAGAAGCAAAAAGTGACATAATTTAAATCATAAACTGTAGTTTTTAGGGCATTTACAGCAAACTTTACACACATAAAACAATTGATAGATTTTCGTATGGCACGCAAAGGGAAATTTGTAGATATATGCCAATAACTAGTTCTTACCTTAAACATGGTCATAGGTAAACTTAAAAGAAATACACCCCTGAGATTTCTGTTTTATAGAAAATAAAGTATGGAAAAGGGCAAAGGTTTAAAAAAATGAAATATTTCCAGACAATATATGCCTGATGCTTCTAACGCCCGTGCATGTACGTCATCCTCCGCCTATGTGTAGTGTAAGTGCTGTGTGGTTTTATAACTGATAATAGACTCAATGATGTTATATGAAATGATAACCGACAATCAAATAATCGACAATCAGCAGAGTAGAACATTATCACGCTCAGAAAAACTAATCTACAGCATCGCTTTTTGGATCGTGACTGAAGAAAATGAGCATTTTTCGAAAATGTGCAATATATCAATGTATTACCTTTGTGGATTCCTACCTGTGTACTGTGTTACCTACATAAAATCATATTCAAAATCACGCCAAGTTAATGTGGATGCTTTTTCATTGCCCCATTACCCTTCAACGTGGATATATGCTATTCGATGTGACTACATCTTTCAATACTTAATGGAAGCCAGGTCAAGCTTGATAACAGAGAAGCAGCGTTTTTTGTACCCCTGCTGATTTGATCGTGGGTTGGAATAAATTTCCTTTATTTTGGTGCCCTAAACACTAGATCATGTGTTGCCTTAATATCCCTCTCTTACTTTCCCTTTGATTTTTATTTCTAATGTTGTAAAAAAATCAATCCGTAACAAGGAAGAAATCGAAAAACCAATCATAATCTAAAAATCCTCTTATTATCATCAGAGACGCTGCAGGAAAAAGGGTGACGACTCCACCGAAGGATACTAAGCATATGGGCGCCAAAATAATGACAATTTCACAAGAAAGTTATAAATCAAAAATATCTCTCCTTCTATAGCACCGCCATGATCGACCACATGAATATTATTGGATAGATAATATTATATTATCTATCCACTTTCGTTTTTGTTTTTTACACTATTTTCCAATCTTAGCCCAGCACACTGTAAGGGCCAAAGTCATCGTGTCCTATATTTGTAGTCCATTGTTCTACTTATTCAAATAGATGTAAATGACTACATCGATAAAGTCAAAGCTGCAAGCATAGACTTAAAATCAAAGGATTGTCACCAAACTTCCAAAAGTTATCAAAATCATTATCAACACATCCGGCGTGTTTAATCTAAACGTGCGAATCAATTTTTTTCAATAATTTGATAAATATTGAATTCTAGCGTAATTGTCCGAATGAATAGTGGAGGTGACATATTGGGTATGAAGTATTGTCAGTCCTAAAGCAATTGCCCATAAATTTCTTCCAGCCATTGGGTGAACTGGCTCACTGGATGATGTAAAAGTGCTTGTTGAACTGGAAATCATGTGTTCTTTTTTTAACAACAGATGTGTTTTATCTCAGTTCATGGGCGAATCTCCATGAACAGTATCTTAAAAGTTCTTTTCATCTATCGCTGCATACTTTCAGTAATCAACTTTAGTAATATTTTGCTTTATTAGCAAAAAGAAGATATTTGGATTTATGGTTCTTTTTGGTCAAATTACATCTCCATTAGGCTCGCCTTTGGTTTTGACAACTTGGCAGCTTTCTGTCTTATCAAGATATGTGTCTAATATGTTTTACAGTGTATGAGCAGCGCATATTGTAACTTTTGATTAATTTATTGAAAGGAAATCGACATTCGAAAATGAATAAATATTTCAGTAAAATAAAAAAAATACTTGCAGTGGGGGTCATCAAGGTACAGTACAAACCCCTAAAAACACACGATAACAGTGGACAGGCAGTGAGTGCAAACTATGTGAAATATCATTTATCAAGAGCAGTTAAATTCACTGTTTTAACTTAGCCACAGGTAAAACAAACCCCTACGCTACCCTTTCCTCGAGTGCACGGCCAATAGATATGTGCACTCAGTTAAACCGACAGCTCCTGTAATTATCTTTTCCCCCTAAACTTCAACTTGGACGTATGAATAAGTTCTACACCTGGCAAAATCAAATAAGATGTAGCATTACCATATGATTATATAACTATAAACTACATTATCCAATGACTGTTGAAAAAGATCCATCTTGCGTAATAAATATGACGTGCATACCAGACTTTGAAAAGCCTGAAGGTATATGATCTATTTGTCAGTTCAAAAATTTTGCCAGGCACATTTTTTCTAAGTAAAATGTACATGTGGCAATCAAATGCAAGAGGAAGAAGAACAAAAATTAAAATAAAATAAAAGCAAGCGCAGCTGTACGCACCGATTTGACTGCAATTGCAAGTGTGTTTTCAAGTCGCTGATTATTTTCTACTAAAACAAGATACATTCAACTTTTATCAAAAATACGTAACATAAATAAAATGAAGCTTACCTTTGCTAGCAAAAAATGGCTGAGCACGATCTATATTTACTATACCACACGATTTTATTTGGGAGAAGAGACAGACATAACAAATATTAGGCTCTACCCTTGAAGAAGCAAACGAGAGTTGACTGTAAATATTTTCTTAGAAAGTTGTTTCGGTGTTCTTCACCCTAACTCTCGTCTCCCTAAAAGAAAGAAAGAAAGGATCAGAAAAAAAGAAAAAGAAACTACTACTTCTGCAGTCATCAACATGACAAAGACAGATGCACCTCCAATTACTAACTTTAAAAAAACTACTAATCTTTGGTCGTGCCTTATCTGTAGACACTACTGTAACTTCAAGTTTTATGACTCTGGGATTGTTTGTTAAATAAAAAAGGGAATGTATGAAATAATATATCGGTATAATGACTCTCTGCACATTCACGTCGCTAAGCGTATTCAGATTGACATGTGTGCACAGCGTATTTTCTAAGTTCACGGTTGAAACACGTAAATAAAATAAGATAGCACAACTCGTAAGTTAATTTATCTTTTAATAAATATAGAGGTATATTTGACCTTAGATTTGCGTGACATCTGAGGAATAGGAGTCAGACTTCAGTACCATTTAGTGTTCACTTCAAAAGACAAGAATTACCCGACACGCATGTAGGCCTAGTCTGTGTTTTGGTTTAGTATATCGTGCTGCCTTGGTATAATATCTTGACAGAAGCGGTGGACTCTAGTTTTATAGCTAAAATAAATTATGTTTATGGTAGAAGTGTGATGGAAACACCCCTTCAATGCAAATACATATCAAATGCCATTTAAAGACAAAATTTTCTTGTGCGATTTCACTTGTCTAGCAGGCATAGAAGCGATAGTTTTGGTAGACAGTGACATCAATTCAGTAACCATTCTTTGCTAGTCTTAATTTCACTTTGTGATCAGATCGATATAGACATTAGCACGGGTAAGTTTTGAGCTCACCGATGGCCAATTTATACAGAGTTGGCGGAGTGCGCCTTGACAGAACACTAGTGTAAACGGAAAATACTTCACAGCCCTTTGATATTTATTGCTGGAATTCGCTCATGTAGATGTCTGTATTTTAATTAGTGAAGCAATTGATGAAGGTCGTATACTGTTGCTTATAAAGTATTACGCAGGGCTCTTTAATCAACCTGCCATCTTATATCAGTGCATTGTCAATTTAGGTTACTTTGCTCACTACCTCATAATACCTCTTTTTGACACGCACACACACACACACACACACACACACACGAGCGCATTTAAACATGTTTCACACTGAATTTATAGAGACACCCTCTTTGGCGGGGTGGAAACACAGAGAGTAACGCGAGGAGGTATGCCAATATACAAACGTCATGACACTCACAAGATGTTAAAGCAAATTTACAAGGAAATTATACAGAGGAAACACCTTTCGGTAAATCTCTTTTTGATTTTGGACACAGGATTGACATTTAACAGAAGGTATTATTTATCTTCCTTTTTTATTTCATAAACTACACGGAGGATATGCTTTTAATCCGGCAAATTCAAAAATCCAATAAACAAATTGCACATGGATATAATGACAGTGTGGTTACACTTAGGCAAACCTTTACGGAGCGAGGTTAAATTAAATTGCATGCGGATAATTTGGTTTTGCTATCATTTCCGACATGAATAGTACATGTGTGTAAATCTTGGTTGTAATTCCTACAAAAAGATTAAAGTTGATAAGGAATATTATTTTGTGGTTTTTCTTCGAAGTGTGTATTGCGTTGATTTTCGGTGAAATCATTAAAAGCAGTTTACACCTGGTGAAGTTCGAGGTCAAAACAAATGAAAGTTGTATGGTTGCTCAAAATAATTCTCTTGAGAAATCAATTTTAATGAAAAAATCTATCCACGAAGTGTTTGCGGTGGTATGTGTATTGGCCCAAGTCCAATTTCAGTGTCAGATGATGCGAAGGTATGCTATTCCGACAAAAATTTATCTTATCATTTTTAAATGTAAAGTACTATTTCCATGGTTTATGCAGTGCCCGGTCTTGGAAGTAAGTTGTCGATGCATTTAACTTTTTTTAAAAATAATGTCAAACACTGAGAGTTACATCTTAGTCAATGTGCTTAAGATCTTTAGTCACTGAGTTAGCCAGTGCTAGGATCCAATATTGGGACCAGTTAAGTTAAAAATACTTTTACACCTCGCCTTCCATGTCAATGGAAATTTGGACATTAGAAGAGTGTCACTGACTCGAATCGTCACCAAGCGCAGACCGTCTTTTTAGTCATCCTGATTGTCGATGCCATCTTAACGTAAAAATGAGTCTAGTAAACATATTACCATATTAGCAAAGCTGCATTTTGCTTTCTTGCCACGGCAGTTCCAGCACGGCCGCACTTTCACCATCTTAAATAATTTTTCAATAAAACATACTTTTTTTTCAATATTTGTATCATACTGAGTAAAGCGAGCACAGCAAAAGATTTCTTAAGAGTAAAATTCGAACTTAACCTTCTATCTCCTTTATGCAATATATATTTTTGTTAAATTATCAGGGATTTTGACGCTCCCCAATGGGTCGAGAGCCATATTGACCTCTCTCCTTCAGAGTCGGTCAGTTATAGCAGCTTCGGGTCGACTATAGCCCAGAGATGACCTCAATTATAGTAAATAATTGTATATAGACGGAGGATGACATTCTGATCAAGGAACCTACTAGAAATCTGAGTTACATTACTCCGGTGTCCATTGATTTTCCGAGACAGTTATCTGAGCTATTTTTTTCCCGGTTTTATTATGACATTGAAGTAAGCATTACATGTTATGAGAAAATGTTGTCACATCAAAAATACATCGGGGCGAATTAGCGAAATCGAGCTGATGACAGTGTTTTGAGGGTGAAAATTGTAATATCGTTTTCAAACAGATCTTCACTTGAACAGCCACGGCAATGAGTACAACCCGGTGCCAAGAAATTTTCTTGAAATGCTTACTTTTGATTTATCAGTAAAGAAGAGGCGACATAATAGTCGTCAACCATGCCGATTTTCATTATTATACCCTACTTAGTTACAGTTAAGTCATTAACTTACACCATTTTACAAAACAGCATGATTAACGATTGGCCACTCTATCTGCAGGAGCGCGCGGGGTGGTGAAAAAAAAAGGACTTTTTGCTGTGAAAGTGTTTATTCTTATTGCGCTAATGGTACGATGAGTATTTCACATTAAATCATATACTTAAAAAAATGTGGGCCTTTATAAGGTATCGTACCCTCCTCAAGTTGCAATTGCAATTGATAAATGAATAAAAAAGAACGATAATGAAAAAAAAAAAAAACAGAAATGAGAAGATAAGCAGTCTACTTACTCCCCATATCTATTAGATATATTAATACAGTATCGCTCTGCTGCTCTTTCCACTGAGACCGGGAATCTTTAGTTGTTTGATGAATGGAATGGAATTGGCCTGACTTTGAAACCATCAATGGACTCATTCATAAGGCTGTTTTTTTTATTTCAATAATCAACAAATCAATTAAAAAGAATTATCAATTGACGTCAGTAAACTTTGAATCCGAACCAATGCCGTGGCAATCCCACTGGAACTCCGGTTAGTTAAGATTAGTGACAATTTAATTGGCTTGACTCGACTCTCAGTTACTTAATGTTCAAGACCGATCGATCAATCTTGTTTTTAAAGATCAAAATGTTATAGAAACAAACACATTAGACAACGTTATTGATCCAGCCATTTGTGAACATGTTTGAAGCAAAGCCGTAGAATAGTTGGGTTTACGGTTTCTGCCCCGGTGACGGGAAAGACAAAATTGACAGCTTTATGTGCAGATCCACAATTTATTGTAATTTTTTTTTGTTTTGTTTTACTTTTGAATAGAATGTGTTAAAAATAAACTAAACAAATTTGATAAGCTAAAGCGACATGAGCAGATTCCATTAGTAACGACGATACTCTTACACATAGTTTGCAGCCAATTTATGTTGTCGGTTTTGCTTTTGAAAGAAAAGTTTTTTTATATTTTTAAGATCAAAATAAAGCCGTTTGTTATTCATCAGCATCTTTTTAAGATATTTTAACTGTGTTGGTTGTAAATTAAATATAAAAACAACAGAATGTATGACAACACATTGCAATGAATTTGGTTCGGAAAAAGAAAAAGAATCAAATACTTAAAGACAAAACTTAGTCTGGAAAAGGTGGTGTTGAAGCTAGATATTACAAAACTAGAAAATGTACGGTATCTCCGTTTGTCTGGGGAATGTGGGACCAATAACCAGCCCACAAGTACTAGTCTGGCACCAGCATAAAGTCTCCAATAAACGTATACAATCATCGAAGTGAGTGGTTGTGTTGGATAACGACGGTTGGCATTGTAGGTAGGGATAGTACAGCATTGTACTGAGAGCAGGTTGCAAGTTAAACTCGCCGTGAACGTCACTGAAGAAAAGAGACTCGGTTAGGGCGGCGCCCGAGAAAGTCGATTGCATCAAAACTAGTGCAATATTCAAACAGATCATCCACCCACAACAGCTAATGTTCCGGTGGGAGTTAAAACTGGCTGCGGCCGCCGACTTCAATGCACAGACCATTAAAGTTTTTTTCCCCAGGAATAAAAAGTATAAATTTGAACAGTGTAATTCATCAATATATCATGCGCTGATGCCAAAGGTTATAACTCCCTCGGCTGCTCGATTACCTGTCTTAGTGCAAGGTTCTGATGGCTCCCAGGTCTCCCAGACTCCCTTGCCTTGTAGAACAGAATTTGTTTTATGATAATTTGCACTTTTTTTTCAACCTAACCATCAGCCAAGTAATCACAGGGAACCCTTCCATTGGGACATCTCTAGGCTCTATAGGCTTATTGAAAGAAGTTTCAAATATCCGATTTTTGTTACGTTTGCAATTAATGTGCATTCAGCATCACACTTCAAAGATTTATCCTTCCGTTGAAAAGTGCAGCAGATGTCATTGTTCGTAATTTCATTGCATTTTTAAGGATATCGCATGACACCGGCAGTAAATGTGTTACTGATTGTTTCAGCACTACCGTACGTTTCATTTGAAGTTCCAAGAGGAATGGAAAAATGCATAATGTAGTTTTACAAAAGATTTAATTTTGGCACGTTTTCAAATTGATATAAATTGTGCTTAGAAGGTTATGCAAAAGTAATCTACCACTAACACTTCAGCAAGCCAAGCATGCTTACAAGCACTAATGAGGAGCGCATTGGTTTTTCGCCCCTTGTTCTAACACGATCAGTAATAGAAAATCAATTTATTTAGAAAGCAAGACTTGACACTGTGTATGCACTTTCCAGCGCATCCAATCCTCGAAACGAATTGGGCGTTCTACATCTTTTTAAGGCAGTGACTTTCCTTCAGCAATTTCTGAAATTACGAAAATGCTCGACAATATACAAAAATATAACTCACATTTGAAATCATCAGTTCATAAACACGTTTTTCTTTAACAAGCATTTTATTGAAAACAAAGTGCACTCCTTGCACAACACGATCATTCTCTCCTTACAAGGTTCTTATCATTAATACCTGGATCTACAATGTAAGCCAAAAACTATCAAACATGTACATGGTTTCACAGTGTTACTTTCAATCACTGCCAAAATCTCTGAGAGAACTGTGAAAAATGAAATGAATCTCTGTTCAGTTCACAGAGGCCAGCTGTAGAAGGATACACTGCAGATAGTCTGCCAGCTGTAAATTAAGCAACACTAAAGGGGCTGTTCCCTGGATTGGGTTGTATCAAATCTTCCAATCTTATTTTCAACTGGCCTGTCCTTACATCAGAGGGCAGTGTTACATGTACATCCTTTTTAAGCTCAGAAATCACTACCCCTGCCCAAATATTTCATTTAAATAAGGAGCCAAAGGGGAGGAATGTAAACATACATCTGTCTGATGCCCATTGAAGAAATGGTGGTCTTCTGAAGACACACGTACATCTCTGAGGAATTTTATAAGTAATGAACTCATTGGGGTGTAAGTCAGTTATTTCTTGTAAACTGTCAGCCACAGCAGTGAGATACATTTTATATTTACTCCCAAACCCTATGAACAGCCCCTTTAAGTACAAGTATTAGACATGTTAGTAAATGCCTAGAGCTTGTATGTACACATCACCCTAAGTAAGTAAGTGGATTCCAGTGGTTTCATCCTTCCCTTCTGAGGTACTGATAATTGGCCACTGATAGAAAATGCATCTATTTATATACACCTCATCAAGCAATTTGGAACCAGTGAAATCAAGAGTCTTGTATAATACACTTAAGATTAAAGTGGTATTACTTTTAACTTGAATTTTTTAGCATCAGTTTCATGTAAAATAATTATAAATCACTTAGAATAATCTTTAAAGTCAGTTTACATTAACTTAGCACTTTCTACAAGTATATCATACATTTGTTCTGGCATTAACTTCTTTCTACTTTGTTCAGCAAAATCACACATTCCATGTTTACCTAAAATGTCAAAATGCCTAACTCTTCCTTTTACCCTGTCCTTTTGGTTCTGACATATTATCTCCTCCGCCATCAGCATCAACAATCTCCAGAGCCAACATGCCAGTGAAGAAGGTAAAGGCCACCATGGAACTAAGAGCAAACAGTACAGCCAGAACAATGTTCCTGGTCCTGTGAGGAAAGTCACCCAGCTCTTGTGCCCGGGCTTTCTCAGCCTCCTCCCGTTTTCTTTTCTCTTCTAGTTCTGGAGATAAGGAGTACATCAAAATTAACTGATTACGTATGTAAGACCCAGGCTGGTCTAAGGGAGGACATACCTTCAGCTCTGCCAATTCATTATTTTTTACATAGTGAAACATGCTGAGAGCAGGAATATTTTTATTCCTTTTTTGGTCTAATCTAATTTTCTGATTCTGGATTGGATATGCCAATGTTCACTTTCAAAAAGTGAAGAAAAAAAATGAAGCCTTAAATGGTATAATATAATATTAAGAAAAAAAATTTAAACAGCAGATGACCAGAAATAGAAAAAGATGGAGAGATAAAAGGCAATGTAGACAGTCTAAAAGCCATGTCAGGAGACATCTCTAGCTTCCAGGTGAAAGGCAAGAAACCAATATACTTCTACAAATGCCTTATGTTAATGGAGAGGTTAAATTTATTTGCAACAGTCTAACAACAAGAAAACTACATCCTTAGCTGCTCATGATTTGATGAGTACAATGTTCATGATTTGATGAGTAGCAGTATAGGGATCTACCGGTAGTCCACAGGGGCGTAACCAGACCTTTAAAAATTGTACGCACAGATTTTTAAAATACCCAGCATGTACAGCAAAATGTAGACTAACGCAACAGATGAAGGACAGCGTAATCACAGCATATGTACCACACATCGTAGCTTAATTTCCATTAATAATAAAATCATCATTTAAGTCAAAAATATTCTCGCGATTTAATAAAGTTTCAATATTTTTATTTACCCAGAACGGTATATTCATTTAAAAGGAGGCTAACTTCGCATCAGCGGACCCCCCTCCTCTCTTCGAATAATCCTGGATCCTCCTCTGAGTTGAACTTATACGGTTTCATCCAGCTTTCATGCGGGTGCATGGCTCCCAAAAACAGCCAATTATATGACACAATAGAGCTCTGATACATCTAAGTTTAATTATTTGTTTGTGAAAATTGCCCATGTCACCCTGTTAGTTTGGAGGGCTAAGCTGGATCAAGTCTGCGTGAAATTCTTTGAAGCTTTGCAGGAATTTTGTTTCTCTAGCTCTTAATTAAACCTGGTGTCCAGATTTTATCTAGTGCCCCCAGGTCTACGGGAGCTGCTCTTTGAAAATAACACACAGGTAGATTTTACCTGAGATAAATATCGCCAGCGAGAGTGCGTTCGTTACTCTCATGACTACAGGAGAGTTGAAGGCCACTTAACCCTCCAATTAAGAGGTAAAGGATGTTCCAGTTAGATGGACGATTAACATAGGACTTGTAAAGGTAACAGGCATTGTTTACCTCAGTTGAATAAAAGTATGCAAGACGGGGGGGTCAGAACAATTGTGCGTATACAGAGGATTTGTACATACAGGTGACTTTAATTCGCAGAGGATTTTCGATATATATTCCGTGAAAAATTCACTAAATTTATATAAAATAATATCATGGTTGGCCAAAAAAATTGTACGCACAGTGCATCCGTGCGTATGCCTAGTTACGCCCATGGTCCAAATATATTAGAAAAAATCTCCCGAATCAATCTGTACAGTGGTTCTATGACCCAGGCTGAAAATTCATGTATTTTTGACTCAATATGACAAAACAAAAGTGCTTCTTGAGTTCAAAATTCAAAGCATGCTATACAAAAAAAAAGATGTTTTGATTTCAGTAGTCTCCATCCTATCACTAGTTTAAATCATATAAATAGTTCAACCTTGTAGCATTAACAAAAGCCTGTTTGGATTTAGTTTTTTTTTTTTTTTTGTTTTTCAGACTGTATGGCAATTTTATCAATGTACCTATACTGGCGTAGAGAAAAAAAAATAAATGAAATTCCTCACACTGCCAGGGCTAAGCTAAAATGTGAGTGGACCTTGCCTGCAATTTTCAGTAAAAACAATAGCCAATTAAATTTTCTTCAAAAGTACTGTGAGAGCCGTTTTCTAAATTTATTTTGATTTTCACACCCAACACTGGTTTTCATTTACACCTCAGGTGTGAACTAAGGACTTACATGGGACAAAGGGGCAGCAAATAACCTACAAAAACTCCTAAAATTCTTGATGCAATTAGGAATTTGTTACTTAAATGTGGCACATTTGTCACTTGTCCTCAGGGTATTATGAAATACTTACACCCTGCTGTACTTAATAAGCCACCATCCAGGCTATATATCAAAACAAACCATGTTACATAATATTTTACACTGACTAGACAGCAATATGTCAATTAAGGTTGCAGGTGAAAGCCAGTTATCCACAAAAGATTTGGTATCATATCTATCATGGCCACGGTGGCTAAGCAACAAAAAAATATGAGAAAAAAGCTGATAACAGGCATAAAAGGTGTAATTGTGGATGTGAAAGAAATCTGAGTAAAGTTCAACCAAAGACAGGAAGTTCATACAGATATAAAATTCAAGTTGAGGTTTGTCATATAATAATTAAAAAGGACTGCCATTATATGCCAGTAATAACCAAATCATGCTTTAAAAATGAAAATCATACAAATGTTGTAAGAGACTTACATAAAACTGGGTTTAAGTTAAAATATTTGATTTACTGTCTTAAAAATGCAATTCATTTTCTGTTTACGTAAGGGGCACCATATCCTAGTGTTTTTTGACCTTATTCCAGTTTGTATCTGTAGACATTAAAGTTTAACTGTTACAAATAAAAAATAAAAATGCTATAAGTTACAATCATACTTTAAGATGCTATAGCAAATGCCAGGAACAAAACTGACACAGGTTATAACATAGAAAGTTTTAATGCAAAAATAATGTACCTTCTCTGCTTAGTGGGAAGTATTTGCTCAGTATCCGGCTGCAAAGCTGACACAGGTTATAACAGGTGCCAAGATGCTTGGACAAGGGGTTCACTGGTAAGGGGGCTTTCAACATTGGGGCCAGATAACCAAAAACTATGGCATCTAATGATGATGGGCTGAAAAAGCAACCGTGTTACAGGTTAGATAAATGAAAACCAAAAATTAGAGAGTTCACCACTGAAACAGTAAATGAAAAGGAACAATGTAGCAGCTGAAGGAGTGATTTGATATTTAGTGAGGTTGTGTTAAATTAAAAAGAAAAAAAACAGTGGATTTTCAGAGTGCATTTTCAGATCACATTCAAAATCAAAGGGCAATGAAAGGAAAATGCTGTAGAATATACAGAAAGGAAAAGGAAAATTGTGTCATAGATTTAAATGCAATTAAATACAAACGTTTATTTAATATTTAAAAACCACATGTTAAAAGTCACAAGAAAAGTTAAAAGTCAGGACTCATACATGTACCTTATGCTATTGAGTTAAATAAAAAAAAAATTCACATACAGTGCAGTTCATAACAGCCCTACAAACACCCATTGCTTACACTGGATGTGGATAGTGTGTTTGCATTATCTAAAAATATTGTTTAGATGCCGAAGAGAAACAGAAGACTTACGTCTTGCCAAAGAAGAAGGGTTTATTTCCCAATCTCTTTGAAAGTAATGTAATGCACTCTTGGGCTTCCTTGTAAATCTGAAAATGAAAAGATGTTTACATAGAAAATACATCACTTTTCTATTAACTTACACTAATATATACACAAAAAAGAATGTATTCCAAAGTTCTGTAGAGAGGTAATTACATTACAGTTTAACCATCTATCAATAAGAACATGTGTACTTATTATCTCACACGTGTCGCGCATTTCTAGAAGCGATGTTATGTTCAATAAATAAAGTACGGAATTCTCCTCAGTATCCAATATCTGTGCAGAATGTAATAACCACACCAGTATCTGTCTGCTTGACGCAAGTGACAACTTGAGATCTGATCAAGATGTCATTCGAGTTCGCTAACAACTAATATAATGAAGTGCCACAAGGGCACAATGACGCTGTCATGAGACCAAATAAACTGTTTGCACATCTCATAACAAGACGAGATGTTACTGAAAGCATGAAACGTTCACCTTAAAAGTAATGAACACCAGCCACAAAAATAATAACAATAATGATCTTTGGGTAACAGTCAAAAGTATTGGATGCCTTTGGGGGAAGGTGAATGACATGAAAGAAAGGATGAGCTCCCCAGTATTATCCTGACAGTTCACATCAGTATAAGCAAGCAATTAATCTACATCCTGGACTTTAATATAGGTTTAGTTGAAACCGTCTTAATGTGTCCACAGTTTGATACCCTGGACAATGTTATTGCAAAGTTGACAAACAACAATACAAAGACTGTTTCATAGTTTTTATGGTTAATTTTTTTCACTGGACTACTATTATAAACCATGAACCACGCAGTCAAGTATGAAATATTATTGAATATTTAAGATGATTTTAAATCCCACCACATTTTCTTTTATTACACAAATTTCCAATAAAAATTCTCCATTTACAAAAATTTAGCTTGTAAAATGTCTGCAGTCTCACATACCCTACCCCGAGCTCAAAAAGAAAAAAAGGTTTCAATTATAGCAGCTCAGCAGTTAGATAAAATACATGATCATAACACGGTCACATAACCATGAAATTGTGTGCCTCATAGAACTTTTTTCTTACAAATTCAAAATGTCAAATGGCTATAATATGACCCCATACCACCATATAGGTTATTACAAGAATAATGTGGATGTATCTCATCAAGACTGTAATGTCTTTCACATTAGATAAATCAATGAGGAGAAAACTGCTTTTCACTTCACTGACACTATCTCTTTGATCCAACATGAATCTTCTAATTTTACTCTCAGTGTTCCGCCTACACAGCTTTTGCAGAAAATGAGCAATTTGCTCACCTTTCAATCAAAGGAAGACCTTTTAAAGTTGATTTAGCCTCTTTACAGTGCTTTAAAGTGTATTTAGTTTGCATTTTTTTCAGGCCAAATTACAAGCACACTTCAGCACCTCATCTCATGAATAGTATCTTTACATAACCATCTGATTGTTTACTTTTGATGCTCTTTGTGTAAACTTCAATCAGAGAGACTTGATTTCTGTTCTAAAATTGGAAATGATTTTTCACAGAAATCTACCAATTGATATTGTCATTTTCACAAGCAAAGTAAACTTGACTTAATGCAGCAAAGCGGTATAAAATAAGACAAACACTTTATCGTGGTTTATTACATTTCTGACTGCTTAGATTGGTCTCTTAGAGTAACACATATGTTGTGAAGTTGAATGCTAATAATTCTATAAATGGGTAGATGCAAGTAAAACTTAAGACACACGCACCGCAGGGGCGGATTGAGGCGGTCTTCTGGGTCTTCCGGAAATCGGTCAAATTTCTAAGTTTACATTGATGAGTACCTAATTTTTTCTGTCGGAAGACGGTCAAAAAAATGGAGGATGGATCAACAAAGATAATGTGGAAGACTGTCAGAAAATATCTCTGGGTCTGCCCCTGCACCATAGTTCATACTATCATCAACAGAGAGTATGAATACTCATACATGCACATTATTTAATTTCATACCAAATTTTCCTTCTCTTGCGGAGTCATTTCTAGGTGTGGATAACATTCTGTCTCCACTCTATCTGTGGCAGCTTTATGCATTCTGTTAGGCACATATAAACTCTGTGGGAACCCCACAGCGCTGCCATACCAGGGCCTTGTGATGTCTATAAACACCTGAGAATTTCCCCACCACAAATGAAGCTGGAAAGAAATTAAAATTTGGATAATTCAAAATAAATATTTTTTTTTCTTATTTATAAGCTGCCTCATAGAGGTGAAAGATAGAAATATTCATATCTAAAACTTACGAGATCCTTAAAAAACATGACTAGAATGCAAAACATTGATTAAAATGCTTTTCAGTAAAACAGTTTTAATATTTCATATTTTGTCAGCTAAATGAGCAACACAACATTTCATATCATAACATTCTCACAGCTTTTCTTGATTCACCAGTAAAAGTCAAGTTTAAATGGATGGGTTGTATTTCACTTTTGCATCAATTTATTTTGGTGCAGTATAAATTTTGTTTTTTGATGAAGGCATTTTTAATTCAGAATTTTGTTTATTAACACACCAGGGGTATATTCTGATTCAACAACAATGCATTTAACTAAGTTGGGATAATTAACTTACAACAGGGTTGAAATAAGTTCCACAGGGCAAGCATAACAGAAGCAAGGAATACCGTCCTAACTTCCCTGAGAAGGGGTCTACAGGTATAAAAATCTACATCTACTGAAATAAAATGTTTAAAAAAGGGCACACTTCTCACTCCTGCTGGAGGCCCACTAGAAGTTTATTGCTAAGTGGACCAAATACTTCAAAGTACAAATTTTCCAGTGCTTTTTGATAGGGATGTATTTGCCTTGTACTGATGGGTACACTCAAGATAAGTATCCATTGCCTGGCATGTCAGATCTAATGAGCCATGAGAAGCACAACAGTGTCCTGATGGCTGAACAAGACCCATGTGACCTATGCTGATTTAACATCAGGTAAATTTTATCAAAAATTATGTTCCCAATGGATACCATCTTTCCCAAGAGTCTGGATTTTTAGAACAACACACCATTTTTGCCCTTGTAATTCTGAGTTTGCATGTCTAATCCAATAATTGTTTGTTGTGAAATGTTTACCACCTCTGCTGAAATCAGGTTTTTTTGATTGGGACTTTCGTAAAACAAAGTGTTTTTGTGACCTTGGTTGGCTAACCAAATGTCAAATGCCCGATTAAATGAACAACACAGAAATTGAACATCACATGCAACACTTACAAGTACCAGCACTCTTAGGGCACATTCAGAACAGATGATCCAAGTACTAACTGATCCACCAACTAAATATGGCCGCCCCCACTTCAAAAGCAGTGCCGCTAATTCCATGATGCCGGTGCTGCTAATCCCTAGCAATGAAACATTGTAGCCAAGATTTAATCCATTTAATGGTGCGTGTGGAGGTAGGGAGACCATCAGGATCAGCACATTGCTTTTGCAGTAGGGTCGGCCATATTTAGTTGGCGGATCCGTTAGTTGGCATCTCTTCTTATTCTGAATGCGCTCATATACTAATATATTTGATCTTTGTTTTTCTTCCCATCTCTCGTATGGTTTTGCTTACTTTTCATCAGTTAAGATATAGGTCTACTGAACACATTTGAACATTTCCCAAAGTCATATTTCTATACCTACATATCTTACAAAGCTCTTAATCTTTCCCCAATTCAGACCATCAAAGCTTAAAAATCCCTTAAGTAAAAGTGCGTGAAGTTGACAGTTCCTTTTGAAATGTACTGGAAGACATAGCGTTGTTAATGTCTGGTTCTGAAACTTAAAAATGGAATAAACCATTGAATCCAAGCTAAGTGATGGGTTCATCGATGATTCAGCAGTGAGAGCTTTTCCACCCTACCCCAGAAAATTCATTTGGCAGTTAAACCCTGCATAGAAAACCTTGAACGCAGATTTTCTTACTTTTCTTGCCAGAAACTGTTTTGGCCTAGCCATCTGCCAGAACATCATTTTAATGATTTTAATGAGCAGCTGCTATAGTCATATCAAAGGGATTTAGATTACTTTAAATGAAAAAAAAAATGTAGGGCACGAATGAATAAAAACAACCACTACATGTTATGGTTCAGACATTCTAGAAACAATGACTCTTACAATGTACCTGGAGAGAGTTTATTAAATTCTTGGGGAAATCATTAATCATTCTGTTGTTCTGGAATATGATCTAAATTGCATGCACATTGTTTTCAAAGCACTGCTACATTGTCTTTATTCTGTAAGCTTCAAAATACCAGCATGTTTTGCTGTGGATTATTTCTTTTGGCTACGTCAGTTACACATACAATTATTGATTATATTGCCTTGATGCCTTTTTGACTAATGTCTCTCCAAACAATGGTAAGACCTTGAGCCAGGTGAACAGATTTTAGTTCAAGATTCCATTGGAGGTAGCTGTGCATGTCTGTTGTCACTTAATTGTTTTAGGGAACATTCAGATTCACACACTGTACTAGCTGGGTTGGTCCACCTCTGGATTCTTGCTGAAGTGCAATCAGCACACATCAGTTGATTACCCCCTAGCTGCTAGAGGAGGGTTGTCAGACAATTAAGCTGATTCCACTGATGGCACTCTAATAAGTTAAAGTATCCTCTACGGAGTGGGATCGACCCAGCTAGTATGATGTGTGAATCTGAATGCAGTCTTTTTTTTTCAACATTGCTGCCGGAAAACTAACTTCATTAATCAGTAATTAGCACATCTGTCTGGATTATACTCCACTACTGCATTCTAAAATATCACCTCTGGGCTGTTCATCAGAGTATGCACTTAAACAACAAAAAACAAATGTTCATTATTCTGTTAGCTGTAGGCAGTTACTTATTTAGCCAAATAAATGAGAATGGCCACTGTCTATCAAGCCCTGGTTTAAAAATTATATCTGGTTTGAAAAATACAGTTAGCTTTAAACTTCAAAGAACTGCTGGTGACTTACTAATGTCACTCAGTGTCTGTCTATCAGTATGTCTGTCAGTCTGAATGGACACCAACAACAAAAAAAACATACAAATAAACTATAAATAAACAAATAAATCAAAATAAATTAAAATCAAATAAATTAATATACATATAAATAGATGAATGGATAGACAAAAGTAGGAAGGGAAGAAAGGGTGGATGCATAGATCGATGCAAACTTTTAAGATCACATTTTTGAAAAACAACCAAATGGATCACATAAATTTAGGTTAACTTAATTTTCATCATTTGCAGGACACTGTATCTTATAAGCTAACCATGTACTTATCCTTAGTATTTAAATCATTTCAAGATTCTGTGTGTCTTTCAACATCTTAATTTGCAGTTATACATGTACCTGTGTTAGGCACTGGGAAACAGTGGCATGATACACAAATCAAAAGCACTGCTTAATGAAATTATACAATTCATCATAAATTCAAACCTGGTTCAATGAAGGACGCATTTATCCAATCAAGTTTGAGATTAAATGATTGCATGAATGACCGAACCTTTGCCATTCTCCGCATCTCCAATGCTACACACAGATCAATAACCTATTACTTAGTATGGGATAAGGGATTTTGCATGCCGTGTTGTTCCCAATAAAGAAAATTAATTTTTACTTCATCCTTGAATGCATATACCTTAAAAGCAACAGTTGATTCATAACTGAGAAGCAAGAAGTAATGTGACTTATCTACAAATGCACAATTTTAACAGGCTTAGTCTCTTAATGACCTTCATTAAGTTCAGACCAGTTTTTCATCAAGGCTTTATGATTGTCATGGACTATTTGCATATTTATGAATGGAAGGTCATCATCTTCAATCTCCTATATAACTTTAATACTTTTATACTTACTATGGCAGGAAGAAGTTTTGTTTCCAACAGAGAAGTGAATGCCAATATATCAGCGCTTTGCTTAGAATTCAGTTCAAAATCTATCCCCCAGTTCTGGAATAAAATAACTCAAATAAATACTGCATTCTTATTTTCCTATCTTTTTTGTAAAGAAATCATCATCATCAATATATTGTAATATATTCTAGTTTTTCTTTTCATCCATATTTGTTTTTTAGTCATTTCATCAAATAGAACAGACATATTTTATCAATCATTCTGAAAGTGACGAAATTGAAGTTGACTTGCTTATTCTTTTTTAGTGTATACCTTGCGTCTCAGGTAGCTGAAGATATCTGTTACTTTTGTGTAGGCACTCCCATTGTGACGGAGAACCGGCAAACAGCCTGGAGACACAATCACGGAACAACCAAATTAAAAAACACATTCATGTGCACCTACCACAATGATTACAAATAGAAATAACAGTTCATCAATGAAAAAAAGTAATGCAAGTGGTCACATAAATATTTTTAAAGCTGCAAATATATACATGCTATAGATATTAAAAGAAATCACTTGAAAAGACAAAAGTAATAAAAGTTCATTTACACATTAGAGGGTGGGATAGCCGTTGGACACTCAAAACTGATCAAGCTAATCTTGGGAGAGTTTATACTCTAATCATGTATGTTTCTATTGACAGTATTTTTAAAAGATTTTCCGAGATAGTCTCCATGGAAAAAACACTCATTTATTATATATACATCATGAAGCTCGGAGGAAGTAAAAGATGTGAGGGTCATATAGATATAAAAACAAACAAACAAACATCAATTAACATATAACATTGCCCTTGCAATATTAAATTAATGTAGAAATTATGAGACATAATCACTTACCAGTTGGTGACTTCCTTGGGTTGTTTGTGGCTTTAATATCAATACTGACACCAGAAAACTTGCAGTATGCCTGGAGACCAAAACAAACTTGTTGTTGTTAAAGAACTCATAATTTAAAAAAAAACAGTTATCATAGAAGTTTAACAAAATCATATGCAAAGGACATGCAATATACATTATTTCAATTATCATCCCTTAACACTTTTAATCACTGTTTAAATACAAGTATTTCTAGTAGTACATAATTTGATGGATACTAGCTTTCATGAAACATCTTGAAGTGTTTCATTTTAAAGTTATAGTTTCTTTTCAGTCGTGTATGCATACACATTTTTTCCCAAAATTTGTATTAACCCCTAGTGCAAAGTTTATGTATCATATCTACATGCATCAAGAACGTGGGTATAGTGAGGTACTTGTCATCATGGCTATCTGCCATATACTGGTACTAGTAAGTTACATATGGTGTCAAATCTTTACCACAAGATCTAACTAAATTTCATCATATAGTCTACCATTGTTAATAGCATTTTAAAGAATGCCAAAGCGTGCCATCTCATACTACCCAAATAGTGATATTTGAACAGATACTTTCTGCTTTTTTTCTGCACTGTACACAATGATGATGAGCTTTTGAGGAGGTACATGTACATTGAATTCATTGTAAATTCTTGTATTTTGTATCTTTTATACAAAGTTCACTTAACATAATATAAACCAAGTACCAATATAGCTTGACTTTAAATTCTTTAACCCAAATGTGTCCATGAAATAAAGTACAGGTGTTGTGCTTACTTCAGGGTTATCAATGAACTGAACATACTTCAACCCCCTTGGTATATACAATGTACATGTGTATAACATTCTGCTGTTTCTGCCAACCTGCATTTGAATATTTATGCTATCGTGCCTGCAGCAGACATGCATTATACTTGTGTACAGCATATGATGGACTTTTATGAACTTGAAGGACGAATCAAATGGTCAAGTTAACAAACACAAAATTGAAGAAAATGCCATTTAAAAGCTATTTTTGGCTGACTGAGAGATTCATTAGGTTTTTTTTCCTTTGGTATGTCGACTTTATTTTCATGTGTAACTTTAACCACAGTTAGTAATAATACAATACTTCAGCGATGTAACATGTGATGCACCACCACACACATTTGCCAAGTTTTTAAAAAATTTGCTTGCTAGTATGAGGGTCAGATCTCTGATCTGCAAGATGTAAATTATTTAGTGCAAAATAATTGGTCGCAGTAAGACGCAGATCTGTCAATACTATTGATTAGCAGCGCCTTACCAAGACAGTCAAACAATTGGTGTCTACAGACGGTAAATCCCAATCCCCCTTCCACACTTCCAAGTCCATGTCCGCCATTTTGACCTAATTCAATCTTAACTAGGTCAAAATTATTGCGCGCCTTTGAATGTTGCTCAAGAATAGATATATATGTCAAATAGATGGCTTGATTATTCTTGTTCATTCAGACCCACTTGCCATAAAACACGATGAATATGGTATCATTAAAAATTCTTAAGGTATATCTTTTTGCTCACTTTACTAATCCGATCCGAACTTTTTTGACCTATATTTTGACCGGTTGTTGTTGGGCACGTGGCACAGTTTACTTGTATATGCCACTTACTGATGCCGATCGAGAGGAATTGGTCCCTATAAGATGATATCCAAGACGTTGATCGTCGCTGTCGGTGCTTTGTTGATTGCGTACTTTTATGGAAGGCATATAAAGCACGACGAAATCAGTGATGCATCATCGGAGGCTGAAGAACTGGTCGCCGCTGCCTGGGAGGAGAGAATTATTGTCCCAGTCAAAAGATTTAAGAAGGTTGCCGTTGGGTCAGTAGATAAAATAACCAATTATGGCCAGTTCGCCACGATACAGCTAATCTTTTTTTTATTTCTTAGGCTTTGAACTAAAATGTTCTATGCGGCATATATAACTGCAAGGATATTATTATAAAGAAACAGATTCTATTATTATTATTATTATTATTATCAATATATTATTATTAACAAAATGGCTAATCAGGTGAGTATATTATATGAACTTACTTAACAGTATCACGTGTAGAAGAAGGACATCTGCATTTTCATAAGAAATATACTCTGTGGTCTGATTGATTGTTATTACTGCACTTTTGTTGTTCGTTATTTACTTAAAGTAAAATGTGGGCTGATAGTACATGTACTTCTGATATATGAAGGTTCATCCTACATCAGGCACTGACCTTAAGAAGATAGTTTAAAAGCTGTTTAGAGGTCGCAAACTTGATAAGAATGTGTTAAGTCATCAGATTAAAACAACCTTATATTAGAACAAATATTTTGTCACATTTTATAAATTAATACTTTGCACTTAGCACCATTGTGCTGGTACTTGATGCATACAAATTTAATTCAACATACCAGTAGAAGCGCTAGAGAAAAAAATTTATTTATGGTAAATATACTTAAATGTCATCATGTTATTTTCCAGTTTGAATGCCAATGTGGATCTAATAGTTCGAGGCACTGAGCTGCTGCAGTCACTGGGTGTGACCCCTGGGGAGAAGAAGGACCACAGGACAGTGGGATCAATAGCAGACATGCAAGAGGCCTTCACTCACTACTTTTCCAAAGGAGCTGCAGCAGAGCGCCCCTTCACTGATGGACCCTTGTATAAAAATACTGTGGTCAAAGCTGCAGCTACGCTGAAGTCTAGTGAGGTATGCTGCTTTAATTTTCATTTTTCAATAAGACGTACAGGTAGTCCAAACTAAGTTTTTCTTAATATTATATTTCTTGTTTAGTTTTGATATTTAGTTTTGCTTGTCCTTTTGTATTCTACTCATGAAACCAATGATATATATATGTATGATATCAAGAATGTATTAACATTACATTATTAATTGTATAATAATAATAGTTAATTATAGTAATAACTTTAATTCATAAACATTAGATTGTATACTTAGTGATATTTTAATATAGGAGAGAATTATAGTTCAGCCAGCTAAACACAAAATAATTATTGTCTGTTTTGTGATTACTTTTAGTGGTTTATTGGTGGCAATGCTGCTCTGATTTCCCAAAAGATTACATCTATTTTCCCAGATACTCAGGTAATGAACACTTCCAAGTAAATCACATGAAAATTATATACATGTGCATATTGTTTATATAAGAAAATGTAACCTCGGTAATGCTGGAGGCTTTTTAAGCTAATCATAATTTTTGTCATAATGGTACAATTTGTCTCTGCCACACTTGGGATAACACCAATTAAATCTTGTCAATGTAGGTACAATTAGTAGGACCAGTGGGACCAAAACTAAAAGAGCTGCTGAACAAAACTATATATGTCCCAAAAGCCAGTTCCCATGAGCAGGATGAGGTCCATCTTATCATGGAGTACAAAAGGGGAGAGAAATGGGGAGCGTTTACTGCCCCTGTAGCCAACAGGTTTATCACGTCCTACGACATAGCCAATGGTCAAGCCACCATGATGGACACTTTCTTTGCTTCATTTGATGAGTTTAAGCCAGATTTAGTGGTGCTGTCTGGGCTGAACCAGTTGGAAGGACAGGGAGAGGAGTTCTGGAGCAAGAAGGTCTTCACTTTGGGAGTTGCTCTTAAGAAATTACCTGACAGTATTCCTGTACATTTAGAGCTGGCCAGTATGGCAGAGGAGAGATTTCTTAAACAGATTTTAGATGAGGTGGGTTCATTTTCAAGTATTTGCCAGGTGTTTTACCACCATTTTGAATACTTTCTTGACATATTAACGTCCAACATCCACCCATTTGCAATGCTGTCTAAATGTGTCCTCTCTGTCAGTTGAAATAAGATAACATAGGTTGTGGATAATACACTGATTAACAGTTCTCCCCCTAACTAAAACTGAGTAGCATTTGGTTGATGTGGTCCAAAAGCCAGATCTGCTTTACTATATTTATGAGACCTTCTAAATGTATTGGATAATGCTACCCTCTACCAGGGCGACTGAAAGATTTTTCACAGATATTCACAGATATGTCTCTAGCTAGATAGATGGTCATTTTGGTCTGAAGTCTGACTTCAGACCAAAATGACCATCTATCTATCTAGCTAGAGACATATCTGTGAATATCTGTGAAAAATCTACCAGTCGCCCTGGTAGAGTGTAGGATAATGCTGGGTTAAACAGAGCACAGAAAATATGTGAGAGTGACACCAGACTGGCAGAGTAGTATTTTTTATAACATGTCACAGTAGATTTCCCTTCACTTTTGATTTTTTGTTTGTTTGTTTGTTTGTTTGTTTGTTTTTCACTTGTCTGATGTACTTTTTGTTTGCATGCCATCTTTGGGAACAGTTGAGGGATGCATGAAGTGGCACATGAATTAATAAAGTTTTAGTTTTTGCATTGGTAAAGCAGTCAAAGTTTCTCAGATTATTGACTATATTTCTTTATGATTCAACTCTTCTAATTGATTCTGTGCTACTTTGCTTTAAATATATGCATCTATTCGAGTCATTGTATTTTTGTTTCTCCTCAAGTCACATTCCTAGTTAAGATATCTTTGCAATGCAGGTGCTGCCCTCTGTTAGCTCTGTTGGTTTCAATGAACAAGAACTGGGTTTTGTCAGTCACACAGGCGGTGGGCCTCACCCAGAGATTTGGCTTCGTCAGCCACAGTCTCAGCAGGATAAAGATGATGATGATGAACAAGTGTGTTGCCTTGTACTAGATTGCTAGCCCTTAAAAGTAGTATTTACACTGGTGGTTTAATTGAATCGACACAGGTCTAATGGTGTTGTAGCTTGATATAGATGTTTACAAAACAAGTTGTCTTCAAATGAAATTTTACATTCTCAGGTATTGCAGTGAACTTTTTATGCTGCCATTTATTTGTTAACTGTGATCAAGCTCTGTTCGATCTGAAACTGTTTGTGTAAATGCAACTTAGTGCTTGTGCTTTTAGAGAGGTATGGCAGGTCACCAATTAACATATCAATGAATATGAACAGGGTTTCCACTAGATTTTGATCCTAAAAGTAATTTTAGACCGAACTAGCTAGCAAATGTATTAGAAAACTGGGGTAATTTTTATAAAAGTGAATCACACAATCCAAGAGAATTGAATACGTATGATTTCTAAATTTACCTTTGATTCACTAAACATTGTGAATTAAGAATTTGCTTATCAATCCAAAATGGTAAAATTTTAAGTGATATAAGTAAACCTGACAATCAGACGTATTTAAGCAATGTTTACCATCATGCTAACTCAATGGGGATATGTATGTTTCATGCTATTTTGGCAAATGTGAATTTATGACCAAATATGGTTTAACCTTGGCAGTAGTGTTCTGGCATCTGTTTTGAAATCAAATGCCCATTAAGTATTTGAAAGTGAAACCATTCTCTGAAAGATATGAAAGACTGTCTTTTTTTTTTTTTTTTTTTTTTTTTGTGATGTAGCCACGATATTCTGTCTGAAAGGGTACCCATTTATGATAGAAGTTGATAGAAATATGGGTAATAAACATGGGAAAGATGAGGGTAGCTGATACATTAACTTATTAGTACCACCAGCTCATGGTTTTAGTCCCGACCCGTGTCGTACGGCTCTGTTGGCTCCGCCGGCTCCGTGTTACAAGTCACCGTTACCGCTTCTCCTCCTAGACCGTATGGACCCATGCTCCCATCTCTTGGATTTAGGTTACATATAATCTCAACTTAACCCCCTGTTTTTTTGGTCTCAGTCGGTGCATTGGCCTGGGCGTGACGCTCATGGAAATGCACCCTTGTCAAAATTTTTGAAAATTCAATGCCAAATATCTCCAAAACTGAAGGAATTATGGGAAAAATTACTATAGAAGTCTGACCGAAAGTCCTATGTAAAGATTCTAAATATGCCCTTGGATTTGACCTTTGACCTTTATTTCAAGGTCAAACAGGCCAAAATTGTCTAAAAATGGGAATTTTCTGCAAAAAAAAAATTTTTTGTGGCAATTTTCAGAAACTACACAGACTTAAGCTCTTATATTACAGTGGGGGGTTAAAATTGTGGACTCCTTTCATCTTTAGGAGTTTAGGGTCAATCAGTGCATTTTCACGGGAGAAGCAGCTGTTAGTTAGATGCCAAAACTGAAAATCCTCTCTAATTCTGGAACTGTAAACAGTAGAGGCCTCTTGATTTTTGCATTATGTACAGCTTGTCAAGCATAATACTGAAGGTGGTACCTGTTTTTTTTTTGTTTTGTTTTGTTTTTGTTTTCGATATGGTTTACGAGTTGTGCTATATGAAAAAGTACATTACAATATTAAGTAGTGAAATAAAATGTGAAATACCCCAAAACTGGCAGAGATACGCCTATAGTTACTATTGACCTTGAATAGGAAGTAATATATTGGCAGTCAAACTGTGACCTTGAAATTGACCTTTGACCTACTTTTCGCTGTAAACTGAACCTTGCAAATTTTCTTTCCCTTTTATCTCAAGACCTAGCAGAGATAAGCCCAAAGTTACTATTGACTTATGGCAGTCATATGCTGTTAATCCAACAGTGACCTTGAAATTGACCTTTGACATACGTTTTACCATAAACTGAACCTGAAAATGAATTTTCCTATGTAAACAACAATTTTCCCACACTTACCAATGGTTAATGAATCCATTTTTACGTTTAAAATTAGTCCCTGTTTTTTTTCTAATTTTTTTTTTTTTTTTTTTGTTATAATCTTTTAAGAGATTATAACAGAGTATAGCCATGAATGGAGGTCATGTGTTCTAAAGACAAGCTCAGTCAGATATCAGAATAATAGCTATAACTGCTGTTTTTGTGGTAAAACAGAATATATTATATTTCTATGAGTTTTTCACAGTGTTTTTTACTGTGAAATATAGATCTTATATGAACAGTTATGATCCCTTTAAGCTGGTTTGTGTAGGTGGATTAAAGGCAACAAAGCTAAACCTGAAAATGAACTAACATTAAACATTGTTTCCATTACAGTATGTAAACACCATAGATTCGAGGTGCTACATTTACAATCTTACTATAACCTTGAATTTTACCTTTCACTGTTCCCCACAATTTCTTTATAAATGATAATTATGTACAAAGAAAGAAAAAAGAAAAGAAAAGAAAAAACCTTGTTTACTGCATTTCCTGCAGCTTGTCAACCACACCCATACAGGTGGGACCCCACTTTCTTTTTCTTTCCCATACAAATGTGCATGCCCCAGCTGGTGGTACTATACCAGGAGGTGGTATCGCCTCTCTGATCCTCTAGTTAAATGTTTGTTATAGTTTATAGTTTTATGAGTTTTTTAAGTACCAGTCTGCCTTTATGATAAGATTTGCATTTAAATTATCCTTTACCAGTGCCACAAGGAGAATTTTTCCACACAATATTTATAGATCTTTCTCAGGCTATTCTAAATAATCTGCAGCAAGATCATTCAAATCTGGGATAGCATAGAGATAACACTAGCATTCCAGTGGGAATAGACTATAAGTTCTGTATGCGCATTAAAAGCTCCAGGTTGCATAAAATTTTCCAATCAAATTGTGACGATTTGTCTAAGCATGGGCATGTCAGCAGACCATGTGATGTATGATTTCTAACCGTGGAAGCGATGTTGCCTCTGGCTCATCATGGTTATAACAGCCATGGGGGTTGACAAAAGAGTGATCAGAGTGGCTTCTTGTGGTTATAAATCATGATTATAATCACATTGGGTCTGCAGGGTTGGTGCATACTAACTTCAGCCACCAATACCTTTCTGACCTGATGCTGTGTGCACAGCTGCAAAGGTTGAGTCCAAATGCCGACTTATTTTTGCTTGCATGCGCAAACTATGTGTGTAGGAGTGCACGATTCTGGTCCTCATATCCACATAAAGTCTGTATATAAAAGCTTTGCTTGCAGCTGTGTCTGCCAAGTTGTGATAATTATTCATTATGAGCACAATGAGGATGTGAAGATAAGATTTGATTTTAAGTTGTTTTTATTTATTTATTTATTTTTGGTGGTGGTGGGGGAGATTATGTAAAATAATTTTGTCAAGTTGTTTCTCATGAGCTAAAGGATTGCAGGCCTTGATGTAAATTTGTTTTCATAGTTCGTGAAGTATTCTTGTTGTGTAGAGTTTTTTCTTGCTAACCTGATACAGATAGAACAACCAGTGATAAAATGACTGAAAAAAATTAGTGCAGCAGTTAATATGACCTTTACATGCAAGGCAGTTCAATAGAGCCATCTGTAGTGTCCTCCTTAGTATGTGAACCTTTACTTACATGTAGTTTAGTACAGGTCATATATTTCCATGTTCTTGTTGGCACATAAGCAATCCTTAGTTCACCACACAGATCTGTTTTATTTACGTAATGCTTCACATGATATTGATTTATATTATGCTTGCGCTTTTAAAACTGTCCCTACCTGTATACTGCTTGAAAACCTTTCATTGTTGATAATAAAAAAGACAATGAACTTGATCTTTACTAAGTAAGCATTGAGTATTCTCTCTTGATAATATTTTGTTTTTATAAGCTATAAAATAGATTGCAGGTGTTTTGAAAATATGCAATCAGTATATGAAGATTATTTGAATAACTTGATTATATGTACTTCACTTTGATTAGTTTTTTCATAATGTTACAATGTATTTTTCAGCTTGTCCCCAGTGTTTCTTCCTTGGGTTTGAATGAACAAGAAATCAGTTTTGCATCAAAAGTAGGAGACGGTCCACACAAGGAATACTTTGACGAACATGAGAGTGGCAAGCAGCCCGAGATACACAAAATCAGTGACATGGTGCTGTGGATACTCCAGACCTATGGCTATTCAAAGTCCAGACCCGAGTCCAAACTGACCAGGGTCCACTTCCATTCGCTGACCTACCACATTGTCGGTGTTGTGCCGAACGCTTGGGGTAACACAGCCTCGGCTGTTGCAGCAGGAACGCGAGCTGCTGGGCAGCAGGCCTGCGATACTGAAGACCTGGACTCAGTGAATGCAGATCTTCGAATCCCACTGGAATTCAAACTGACCAGCAGCAGTGATGAAAAGTCATTTGATCCATCAGAACCTTCATCTGTTTGGAAAAGGGAAGGCTATAAATTTGCTTTCAGTCCTGTATTAGTGTGTAAAAACCCTCTGAAGACAGTAGGTCTAGGGGATGCAATCTCTGCCACAGGGCTGTTATATTCAGAATATAATGCTGATTTTAGAAGCAAAAGTTGATTAAGGTCGATTTATGATAGCATAATTTTAACGTGAAAAGGTTTGTTACTGTGATCTTTTTTTAAAATTATTACTTGGCAACGTTTCTTAATTATGTACAAAGACCATGACTAAAATTTCTTGATTTTCTATGGTTGGTTAATCAAAGTTGAAAAAAATTGATTTGAACAGTTTTGTAGAAATGAATATTTATAATTGGATGGGAGTGCTTTTGAAGATAAATGAAGAAGAAAATCAAAGCTTTTTTCTTTTTGGCATTTTTTTTCTGTTCTATTTAAGAAAACTCATTGTCATTTATCATCATGTGAACCAGTCTTTAAAATAGAAGAATGTTCAGATGTCAGGTTTTCACGTATGCTACTGTCACTCATTCCATGTTTTTCTCATGCTCCCCATTCATTCATTCATTATTTTAAGGTGCATCACTGAAATCATTGAATATTTCTTTAGGTATGTTTTATACCTCACATCAGATATATTAGAAAGTATTAATGTGTCATTAACATTTCTATGTACAGGCAATGGATTTATGGACATATTGATAGTTTTTTTTTCTGTGATCTTTAATGAGTGCTTCAAAGTAAAGATGTTATCCTTTAATCTCTTTAAAATTCATGGAAGAAATTGTAAGGACTCCATAGGACATTTTAACCCTCTGGTGTATGGTTGTCTAGTGTAGTTCCCACGTGTTTGAAATGATTGTCTAACGGAAGATAATGTCAAATTATATCAGTAAGTTTTCCAATAATTTCAGGAATGAACAGGTATTCTATGCACTTGTTACTTTATCTCAAGATTTATTTAACCAGAAACTGTTGTTCTATTGTTTTGTCGCAAATAGTACATTCCTAGTATTAAACACACATTGCATAAATATTGCATGTCTTTTTGAGTATAAATAGTATTATAATATGTGGTATTATTAAGTATTATCTAGATTGCATTACCAGACTTTATAAATGGATAAAAAATTTTCTAAACCAAGCCTCAGATTTTGTGCACAAAAATGCCCAAATTAACAACTCCAGCCACAAAATAACTATCCCAAGGTCAAATTACTTGTCACAATGAAAGAGTTTCATTACCAGACCATTTATCAGCTTATCTACCTGTTCGGTACATTCCGTATGAGCTGGAGATTGCTGAGAACTGCTGTATAAAAAAAACCTGTAGAAGGCATATGTATACAGCCAGAGACCTGGACAGAAGCTGGCCAAATTGTTTGTGTAATGAAACTTTAAGCTTGTTGGGGTAGTTAATTTGTGGCTGGAGTCATTAAGTTGTGTTCTCAAATTTTTAGGCTTGTGTTTAAAAATGGCAAATATAGTTTATGAGGCCTGATTACCAATGGTAATGGATTCTTGGTGCTTTGTGACTAATTGCAGTATTAACTCACAGGTGCATTGTTTGGCAGATCCACTCCCCTGCCCCTTACCTCTTTAGCCAAGATACCCCCCCTTTTTTTGGCATTTATTTTTGGTACTGCTGTGAGCAATTTCCACTTGTCACTGTTAATTATATACATGAATGCAAGGAAAAAAGGAACACCTACCTTTTAGATCTCAAAAAAAAAAAAATTATTATTATTATAATACTTAGCCTGGTTCTCATATTTCCAGGACACTGCTGCATTTTATTGGTGTTGGATTAAGGTCACAAATATCACATTACTTGCTGGTTTAGGATATTTTTAATCAGAGAGTTGAAGCGTAGATCATGCAGAGCAACCAAAATGTCAACAGAGGCTTTGGTAGTGTTGTGACAGATATCTTGTTCAAAGTCTTGCAATAAATATTGACAATAATATATGTATAATATTTCTGTTTTGTCTTTTTTTTTCTGTGCCAAGTGATGTTTTTGTTGATAACAGGCTGACGCAGAGATTTAAAGACATAAGATTTTTATGTACAGACACAGATGTGTCTGTACATATTGCCATCACCTGCGTCTGTCGTCGCCGTCGCCGTCGCCGATCATGNTTTTTAAAATATGGTTTGCTACTTCAAATTAACCTAGAAAGTAGGCCTATTATATGATGTAGGGATGCATGGAATATAGTTGCAGAAAACGGACTTAAAACCTGGTTTGGCCTATAATGTATTTCTTCACTTATCATCTAAAGGTACTTCATTATTTGACGACATCCACCGGAAAATTGCTTTCGCTCACTTTATACATGTATGATGCTCAACGAAGTCTGCCATATATATATATATATATATATATATATATATATATATATATATATATATATATATATCACTTTAACCTGTGTGGTAGATGTGTATGTCAGAGGAGACAACTGATCTCACCTAGCACATTTTACGTGTTGGGACGCTCTTGAACGAGTTCTCTGCCCAGAATATTCTTTTCGTTGTCGTTTCAGTACTTTAAACACATGGATCGTTGTGGAGGGGGGTGTCCAAGAGCTCAGAGCACTTAGGCGTGATATAAGGGGTGTATGGACATGTTTCGCATTGTGCGCAGTGACACCTTTTCCCGACGCTTCACAGGCTAAAATACATGTACTTTAACATGACGAACGTTATATATTGCTTCGCTAACAACAGAAGGAATTTTCATTATTTCTTTCCCAGTCGTTGCACTTTGCAATTGCTCTCACAACTTCGATTACAAAAGTTTTAAGTTAGCCCTTTATACATTACTATAACATACGTCAACAATATGTGTTTAACTGTGGGTGTTTTTCAATTATACTTGAGGGGTTATCATATTGGGCCTCGCTGCAAGTCGGCAGCTGATGCCAATAACGCTATTTTGTTGAAGTGGTTTCTTGGTCAGATAGTAAGATCAGGTCTATAACCAGTAATTCCAAGTGTTTTGTCTGAAAAGTGTACCTTTTTTATCGCAAAAATAAGTTTGTTCACAGAACTTAGAACAAAAACAGAACTTGTTCACAGAGCTTAAAAGCTTTTTGGACCTGAAAAACAATTCCTTCGACCCCCACCCCCACTGCCCGCGGGTCTCTAGAGGAAATTCTTGTAAAAACTGTCAATGTACATGCATGCCCATATGCAAATACAAGGAATGTGTGGTGGATTCGGCGCCTGTTTCTTCACCAAAATACAGAAAGGGCCGCTCGATGCAAAGTGACCTTGGGGGTAGAGGGTAATATAATTTAGTCCTTATTTTTGATTGTCTTGATCTTCCAGTAACCCCTTTCACCCCCTCCTCCTCCCCCCCCCCCCCAACCCCGGAAAAAAAGGAAGGATGATAGAAAAAAGGAAGAATTGTGGTCAGATTCATAGTTAACAAACCATATGTAATAATATAAAAACAGGTTAAGTCGGGAGAATATTCAGAAATCGGGCTGATTCTAAGAACGATTTGTAATGCTGATCACGACTGTCATATTACGGTCAAAATGAATGATAGATTTATTTGATAATACTCCCATGCACAATTTCATGCACTCGAGTATTCCGTGCTGCTTCGTTCATGTGTATTTACCACTCATCTTTCCAATACAACAGAAGCAAACTTCTTACTTTATTGAAACCTTTTTGACTTAATAAGTGAGTGGGTATTTTGTGGTACTTAACAGCTCTAATAATATCTGTCGATTTCTCGGAGAAAAACGCACACCCAATCCTCCACGCATTCTCAAACATTCTGTGCAAATGCGTGAATGTCCATTTCTACTTTATTTATTAGACAGCACCGCTTGCAAGCACTCAAAACTCTTGAAATAGTGTGAAGGGTCTGCACAAGTCTATAAATCACTGTCGTTAAAGCACTGTTAGCGCTAGATCTTAATTGATTCCTATGTGTCAATATATATGAACGCAAGGGTGAACGGAGGAGTGCCTCACGTGATAACGACCGGTCCTAAACACGAGCGTTTTACGACAACGACGTCACAGACACGAGCATTCGGTCCTTAAGTTAATCGGATACTCTGTTGTTCCTTTCCAATTCAAACTTTGTCAGTGCCGCGACATTTACGTCCATCTCACGTGTTACTTTGAGAATGTGTTTATTTCGGTTGCCAGTGACAGCGCTGATCAGATGCCTCTAGTGCTTCTCCGGAAAAGGATACTTCTCAATTAAAACAAGCTGTTTGGACTACAGATATAGAGAACATAGTACTATAGATAGCTCATAGCTCATCCGCTTTGCAGGAAGTTCGTCACATTGAAAAAAGGTAAGAAGGGCAATGCAAAATGTTAGAAACTTTTTTCGGAATGCTACTGGTAATCTATTTTCAAACCATTTGCCCAGCGTGTCAAGCGGGCTATAGGATTTCGGAATGCTTCACCTGTTGCTTTTGGGTGTTCTGCTGATTCAGATTCCACGTGGCTATTTGTGTTTTGGGGGGAAATGTATTTGACTTTTAGAAAATGCATTATTTCTATAAATCATTCACATTGCTGTTTAACATCACTGTGCTCCGACGCAATCGCAGACGGCCCCAAACAGTATGCAATAAACGTCAATGTGTTCTAATGTGACATTTTCTTCTTCGTACCGTAGCAATGCTATATTCATGCTGAAATAATGGACGCAAGGGTGAGAAACTGTCACCTCACGACATAAAGATGCCGAGCAAGCTCTAAGTTGTTTAACTAATGACACATGAAATTGTTTGCCAAATGAAGGTGTGATTATCAAACAGATAACCACTTCAGAGGGCTTGACCTATCCAAAGTTGACTTAATTCGATCGAATTGTCTTTGGTGAAATAGACGGAGGCGCGTCTCAGTGGCACGGCCTTCAAGCGCCTTATTCGCGATCTAACAATTTTATGAATTTCAACTCAACAGTGTCGTTGGGAACAGCTACATATGTATTCCCTCTGTGTGCAAATGCATGCTAGTTTGAATATATTAATTTAATTTGTTTAATATTCCGTAAATTAACGACCTAGATTTGTTTTTATTTTCCGATAAAAATGATAATGCCGAACTCCAATTTCTAGAGCTTAATTAATGAGATTCCCGCTGCAAAGATCGTGCACGAAATCTACAACGTTTAGAAAATATGGGCATTTGAGTTTCTTGAGTGAAATCACTGCTCCCCTTCATACGTGATAAACCGACATCTTACTGATAACTTCGATTCTCCATAGCCCATGATGCTTGCTCAGTGGGTGGTTGTATCTCTAGAGTGCTGTTGACATAGTTCAT